GGCAGTATGACCTCTGAAACGTTGGTAAACATCGACCAGACTACACAGCGCAACAACCCAGAAGACGGAAATCTTTATATTAGATTTATCTCTTGGTTTTAACATTTGACATTTAGTTCTTAAATAAGGTAACAAAATAGGGTTGAAGAAATCTCACTTCTGTGATCAAACTTCTTGCTGTGAACTAATGTTCAGTGTTTAGAAGTACAGTTGAACTCAAAATGTTGCTGCTTGTCAGTCGCTAAACACTGATTTGTTGTGGTGTTTCACTTAAAAATAATTATGGAAAGTCATTACTGTGTTCATCTATGCAACTGTACTTCGCAGAGTGCTGAAGATTGGGACTATAAGGGAAAGATAGAGAAGCACGGTTCTCAGCTTGACTACAGTACTGGCTTTGGTGGGAAGTATGGTGTTCAAGTGGACCGCCAAGACAAATCTGCTGTCGGCTGGGATCACGTTGAGAAGGTCGAGAAGCACGAATCACAGAAAGGTAAAATTATCTTTACCACCAGTTTAATCTTCTATATTCACACATTGAAAATACAAATTTAAATTAACCTTTGGCAGTTTACGTTCACTATGAATTTAAAAATTGCACAGAAAAGTTAAATGTAAAGTTACTACTGTGTCTGAGCATTGTGCAGTGAAACTGTGAAGATGGTGTGATGATAACGATCCTCACGTTTGAGGTGGATGGTTAAGCTGAGCACTTTATCTGTTTTACCCTTGGGGAAAGTGCCACCGGTATTCACAGAATAATCTGTGATTGGTGTTATAGCCCTTGTTTTGTATAAAGTTAGGATGACTAATAAATCCAGAAGTTCTGGAATATTCCCATGTTTGTGGGGCTTTGGATTCCCAAGGTGTGGTTTCCAGAATAGTCGTTTATCATAAGTTTTGTATATTGATGACTTAAATTGTGTTTGATAATTGCAATTTTTCAGTCTTACACATAATCCCACACTGCTGCAATTGAATAGTTTGTACTCCTGCTTTTTCAAAGATTTTCTTTTATATTCATCATAGAGAGACAAATGAAGGAAGGCACGAATGTTTTGACTGCCATTGTGGACAAGAGCAATATATTCTAGCACTTTAAAAAATCAGTTTGAGCCTTGGCTTTGAGGTTATTGTATGGAAAGTTCATAGATATCCAATGACAGTATACAGTGTGTATACTTGTGATCATACTTCAGAGGTTAAAAGTTACTAATTAGCTGTTCCCTTTCTGCTGCCAAGGCACATAGTATCTTATTTCAAAGTGTCATCATAGCATGTTTGTGACAGTTCTAAAATAAAAAAGATCTGACATCCTTATTTACAATCCTAAAATTCATACTTAAAATAAGGAATTTATTTTGTTGTAGAAGGCATTTGATTCAAATCCTGACTGAATTCAGCTTTTCCGATTAGTTTCCCCTGGTTTTCCTTAGATGTCTTACACTATTCCCTGTTTTTTCATCTGACAGTTTCCTCTTTGCGTGATTTTCCTTAGATGTCATACACTATTCCATGACCAGTTATTCCCTATTTTTTCATCTGACAGTTTCCTCTTTGCATGTAGTGCTGCGGTTTCTGCAGTAAGCAACAGTTTCATTTTATGTATGTACTGGGTTGGGTTCAGATTATGCCAAAGGTTTTGGTGGCAAGTATGGCATACAGGCGGACCGCCAGGACCGTTCAGCCGTTGGCTGGGACCACATTGAGAAGACTGAGAAGCATGCCAGCCAGAAAGGTAACATGCTGAAAGTGGCGCGTGGCGTATAGGTGGTGGGATGTATGCATGTACAATGCACTTCTGCTAACATTTTAAGCCATAGCTGGGTGTGGTCTGATGATTCTTGTGTCTTTATTGTGTTGAGGAATATCAGGACAGCTCTACTTCCTCTGTAAGGCATATAATTTGACACCTAACAGTGGTTTTTTTTGAGTGCTTGTGTAGTGTTTTAACAGCTCGAATATGTAAAGAAATGTATGTGTTTTCTCCAAACTCCGTATTAGTTTTCTATCTGATTTGTTGATAGGTAGGGCATAATTAATTTTGCTTCCCAAGACCAAACTATGAGGGTTATTCAAATGAAACCCCTCCGCAGCACTGCTATTGAATACAGGTGGTTGCAGGTGATAAAATGGTTGTGTACTTGGCACTCTGGCAGTCTGCCTTAAGTTTGGCAAACAGAACGGAGGCAGTACAGAAAATAGAAACTGTGCCACGCAGTTAAAGACTGGAGTTCCAGGTGTGGAATCAATCCAGGGGGGACTGGATTGTGATGGACAATGAGATGTGGTGCCATCACTTTCAATCTGCGTGAAGATATATGAGCGTGCAGTGGAAGGTCCCATCTCTGTCTGCCCTGAGACCCTAAATTTCTGTTTATTTAATGTTTCACATGTAACAATTTGATGTCATATTTACTACCCATGATGGATGAAACAAATGATGCATTCAGGGTTTATTTATAGCGAACACTGAAGTTTGTATTAAGGTAATAACTGAACACTGTGCTGTACTTGAATTTAGCAGAATTCTTTTTGCAATTTGTGAGGCACATTTTATGTTGAAGTTCTGAGGTGGGTACAAAGTAATGTTTTGATATTCTAATTTAAAAAGAAAGTCTGCATACATGTTTAGATTTCATCTTGCATTGAATTTATTTTTCATGTGAATTTGCTACATTAATCTTTCTTGCATTGAATTTATTTTCATGTGAATTTGCTACATTAATCTTAATGTAAATACTTCGAGATTTACACAGAATTTTATATTTGTTTGCTTATGTTCATAGAAACTAACATGTGTATTGTTGGGTTATGTAGAACTTACAAAGTTTTGTACGTAAGTAATGTATAGTCGTGTTAAGCTCATAAAAGTTGCATTGATATCATGTCAGCCATGTTTGAACTTGCACAAACTCTGTTTTACTATTATTATGAATGCAGTGACACTTCATTTCTGTTTCTCTACCTTTGAGGGAAACAGTGTGTGGCTCGCATAATTGTCATGTCTGATATACACAATCAAGGACTCCTTGGACATAGCAGATGATGTTTGATGAAATTATTGTTCTTGTGCAAAATACCAAGTTTCCTAAGATGATGGAGTTGTTTATAGTGCATATATACAGGTTTAAATGTAAATTTGTGTTTATTTATGGCATTACATATACATGGCATGTCACTGGAAATGTTATATTAATTTTGTTTAATTTAAGTAGGTATTCTTTCAGTCAGCTGAACAGTTTACCAAAAATGTAAGGTAATATTTTGTTATGATTATTTATTTGTCAGTTACTCAAAAACAGTGGAGCAGTTACAGTTGCTCATGGAGGGACATGTTAATCCTGAGAATTTAATTATATAGATGGCAATGCAAAATGTTTTTGTGAGGATTTTTATATTTTAATATAACAGCGCATGTTTGAGTTTCTTAAGTATGTATTATTCATTCTTTTGTTTTCATTTGACAAGAAGAAAAAATACCTTGTGTTGAAACTAGGATACAGGTTTGTTCTTATGTAAGATGACAGAAATTTACACAGAGGATATGATGTTGCAGATTATGCTGTTGGATTTGGTGGAAAGTTCGGCATTCAGGTGGATCGTCAAGATAAGTCAGCTGTTGGGTGGGACCATCATGAACAGCTACAACAGCATGAGAGTCAGACAGATCATAATAAGGTAAAATGCCAGCTCCTTCAGGATCCTAAAGCTCACTTTTGTCATTGTCAAAACTGTGAAACTGGAGATTCATCTGCCAGTCTTATTCATCAGAATCTCTTTTGACAGGATATGACCTCTGCAGCTGAAACAGCAAGATTGTTAAATATTCTAACATTCAGTTGCAATGTAATAGAACAAATTTATTGAGTATCATTATTTATGAGTATAAATTTTGGGTGTGATGCACTATAAATAACTTCCTAGGAGTGTATTCAATGTTTTGTCTTGCAGAAATGTGAATTTGGTATTTCCTTATGCACTATGTTTTTATTTATATAGGGTTTTGGTGGTAAGTTTGGTGTTCAGAGTGATCGAGTGGATAAATCAGCTCATGATTTCAATGAACAACCAGAGAGAGTTGGCACAAAGTATGAGAAACCGAAGCCTCGCGCAGGTGAGTTAGAGGTACTGCTGTCTAAGTTTTTCATTGACTCAACTTTTAAGGAAAACAGTTTTTTACAAAACAGTCAAAACTCATACTAATCCACATACCTCAATGTTTTAATGGCTGGAGTCTACAGTAATGTCCAGAAATATTTATTAATATTCACGTTTACATTATTTACACAAGCACTGGCTTATTATCTCTGTTACTGAAACATAACATTATGTGGTGTGTGGACGGTTGTTGGCTACTGACTCAAACATTCTCACTTCAAACTGTGCCTTTAGTATCATTACAATATTACATATTTACATACAGCTCAGACCCATTGTATACAAGTAATTCATATGCTTAATCAGGGTCTGCCAAATCATCGAACCTTCGTGCAAAATTTGAAAACCTTGCAAAGCAGGGTGATGAGGAAGCAAAGAAGAAGGCAGAGGAGGAACGACAGCGACGCAAGAAGCAAGAAGACTTGGAGGAACATGAAGCACGTGAACGTGAGGAGACACGACTGAAAAAACTATTGGAACAAGAACAGGAGGAGCATAGAAAATTACAGGAGCACAAACTTTACCTCGAGCAGACTGCATCTCGACCTATGTCTGTGCCTCAGGAGGTGACTGGTTTCCAAATTTTTATTATTACTTCATGAACACTTTCTATAAAAATCAGAAGCAGTTATGGTGTCTCTATGCACAAATTATAGACAGAATGTGGCTGGGACTTACCCGCAGGTAGCAAATAGTGAGCAAGACTTTTCTACCGTTTGAATGACGGACTGAGTTTCTGACCCATACAGAGCATGTGCATGTGGGAGGTTTTATTAGTTATCCTTATATTGTGGTTTTGCCCCCTATGCTTGTGATGAGACATGTTCTTAGTCCTTGTATTTATATTTAGATGAACATGAGAGCATTAGCGCTAACCAGTAGTGTGACCATAAAAGAATATAGCAAGTAGAGAAGTGGAGGATTGTTACTTGTCATTAATTTATTGCAGGCTGCTCAACCTCATCCACAGGCACGATCTTCTACTCAGGAAGCTACAGTTGCACCTCAGTCTACAGTTGGTCCACAGTCTTCAGTTGCACAACAGTCTCCAGTTGTGCCACAGTCTTCAGTTGCACAACAGTCTCCAGTTGTGCCACACTCATCAGTTATGCCACAGTCTCCAATTGCACCACAGTCTCCAGTTATGCCACAGTCTTCAGTTGCACCACACTCTCCAGTTGCGCCACAGTCTCCAGTTGTGCCACAAACTCCATTTGCACCACACTCACCAGTTGCACCACAGTCTCCAGTTGAGAATGTTCTGTCAGAGCGCCACATGGTACAGGCAGTGCCAGGACAGGAGGAGGAAGAAGATGAGGTTGTAGCTTTTGATGCTGGAGAAGACACAGGCTACTCTGCTATTGCATTGTATGATTATCAAGCTGGTAGGTTGTTTTGTGGTTCTTGGTCTTGCTTACATCGCGGTCAGTCTCTGAGTTTAATATTGTTTAGCAATAGACTTTTGATGGCTTTGAAATGTGAAAAATTAGAGCAATACAGAAGTAAGTAGTTATTTAAGTACAAATATTTGTTCCCAAGTTATTGTATTAATAACCCTTGTGGCTTCTGACCACATGGTAAAGCAGTGAGCCTCATATCTGAAGTGGTACCATCCATGATGCAAATTCCACTGTAAAGTAAAGTAAAGCTGTCCAGGTACATATTATGGAGGTGCTTGTGGGGAGAGAGGGTATAGCTCCTACTTGTTCTTGACCTTCAGCACTGGGGGAAAGGACCCTCAGTATCAACTGAATAGAAGACTGGGTAGGCCCCAGAGCTGATCTGGTTGTAGAGGCTAAAGGAGAAATCCTTTTTCCCCTGCTGGGGATTGAACCCTGGTCTTCCAGTCCATAGTTAGACATTATACTGACCCACTATGGCTCACAAAATTCCACTGTCCATTGGTATGATGCTGACTGGCAGATGGGACACATAACTTAACCCTATCTCTGAACTGTAGGCCCTATTACGCATTCCTAGCACATAAGTTTCAGAAGGCATCATGCCTCTAGTCTGTAATAACCTCTTTTGCTTGCAGCTGCCGAAGATGAAATATCATTTGATCCTGATGACCTAATCACCAACATTGAAATGGTGAGTTGATTGTTTGAAGTCACTTTGAATTTGTCCATTATGAGTTGTATGGATGATAATACTGTTTATGCATTATGAGTCTTAAATCAGGCATTAAGAAAGGCAATCAAGAAGTTCTGAGAGGAACCTAGCAAGTTTTATTTAAATATTGTCTACATAAGGATGTGAGGAAGAACTTTGCATGAATGACTATAACATGTGAAACAGTGATGTTATGTAACAGACTTGATTATCGAGTTTTTTGCTGCATTTTGTCTTGTGTGGCATATGGTTATGTCATGCTTGTTAAGTAAGATTAACCTCATATGTTTATGGTTCTCTGATTCTTTTCAGATTGATGAGGGTTGGTGGCGTGGATACTGCCATGGCCAGTTTGGACTGTTCCCAGCCAACTACGTTCAGCTGCAGCAGTGATGAGCACGTGTGCAGTCTGGTAGAGTTTGACTGTGATACAAAGTACTTAAGAGCTTCCAGGAATGCATATTTCTCATCAGAAAGACAAGGAAATGTTAAAAAATAACTTGGTGCTGTATATGTCTATATAAGTTTCCATTTTCCCTGTATTCTTGTATGTTTGCTTTTAGTGGCACTGGTAAGAGCGAACACATGCTCATATTAATAGTGAAAGCCAATTTATGTCTCACTTTTGACATTTAGAGTCTTACTTATTTATAACCACTGTATTTGTGTGACCTTCAGTATGTGACTGTTGCCAGAGTTACGAGGTATGTTAACCCCGGCATTTTTACGTGGTGTCCAGTGTCACTGCTCAGAACACAGATTTGCTGTCAGCTCAGCACTAAATGAATTAAGCTGGCAAACACTATATACTTTTCTGCAGGACTGAATTTGCCTTTGCCATTTTAAAACTTCAGGAAATAAGAAACAATTTTGGGGAGGTTCTCAGAAATCAGATTTCTTGATTAAAGAAAAAATTATATAAATATGATATGACAATAGTAATAGTTTTGCTAAATTACAGGTAATATCAAATATAGGCTGTGAAGTATTGATCATCCTTTTGTTATAGGTTTTGGACTTAGATTATAGGGTAAATGACTCATTTTATTGATTTTAAATCTGTAACTTTAATGAGATTAAGTATTATGATTATTATTATTTATTATTATTACTAACCTTAACCCTTCAGTGCATGATAATTTCCATTTTATTGCTTTACCTGTTGCAGGCATAGCCATGCTTGCATCAACCATCAAAGAGTAAAGAAAACAGCTTACATCTGAAGAATTTTAATGCACTTTGCATTTGTTAAGTATCTAACCCTTTAAAAGATCAGTGAGAACTAATGTACTACCTGCTTTAACAACCAATTCTATGTTTTGCCTGCAAAATATCTATTTCATATGATTCTTGGAGTAAGCAGCAAGTGGTTCCCTTAATAGCTGTAACCAACTGATTGTTGTTGTGGAGACAAGTTGTGTTTTCTTTACAGTATGGATTGCATTCTTAAATATTATTTGAATCAGCTTCACCTTCAAAGAGCTAGGTATTTCTGTGCTGGTGCTGTTACAGTGATAACATGCAACGTTTGTTCTACAGGTTATGAGAAGTCTGTTAACTTTAATTGTAGCATTTCTTTCACTGATCTCAAACTCAGACTAAATCCAGGTCAGAAGTACCGGGAATTTTAGACCAGAAGACGGCTGTCTTCTATGTTATACAGTGCAGACTGGTAGAGGTTTTTGAAATTTCAGAGGTCCTTGCTGCCCCCATCAAGAGGGTGATATGAAACTTATACCAGACTACATGGTGCAATAACTCAGAAGACAGCCATCCTAACACTTGCTGCCATGAAAACCTTAAATTGTACTTGATTTTAGACCATTTCATGTTTTTGAGGTGCCAGTTTTGAATCTTGACCAAAATCCAGCTGCATTGGCTTCTTTTTGTTTTTTTCTCTCCCCAGTGAATGCTACGGTAGGTACAGATATATATATATTGATTGATTATTGGTATAGAAAATATGTGCTCTTGTACATAATGGGTTATGCCTCTGCATGTATTTTGATTTAATGGTGATTATGGCATGAATCCATTCAATAACTTCTACTCTATATACAGGGAGTTGATTCATTGCAATTCTTTGCCATACACATTACAACAACACAGAAAAATGTGATATTTATCAATACCACAAGGTGATTGTGACTTTTACTGGACATAGTCACTTAAACCTTCCCTAACCTTAAATCCCACAGTACTGGGAATAGTAGGTAATTCAAGTAATCCTGTATCAGTTACATTTTGATAATTTCGTTTATGGCACAATAAAACTTGTTTTACTCAGTAGCGAAGTGCTGGATCAGTGAAAACTATAGAAAATTCTATTCTGGCCAGAATACGAAGTTGACGACCCGTCATTATTCGAAGGTAAATGTGGGATATTTGTAGCAGTAGCATGTTGGTATTACCAGTGAGTACTCGTGTTCTATTTACGCACCAGAGTGCATGCCATTTGCGGTTATGTTGGGTTAGTTGTTTTTCAGTTGTGAATTTTTAAATTATTTGTCTAGTCCTGACAAGATCAATTTTTTATCTCCTATATTTAATATTTGATATACTTTAGAGTATAATATTCAATGGGAGAAAGAGGCGAGCGGCAGTTTAAGTAAGTAAAATCACCAGGTTAAATTACAGGTTGCTACTGCCAATACCTCCAGTTCCCTTTAAAATAATTAACTAACTTTGGTTTGTTTTGTATTTTATTTCTTTTGTGTGTTTATATTACGAAACCATAACGAGCACGCGTTGTGGCAAGTCGGTTTCCTCTTAGCGTTCATATTTGCTTTCATAGGCGTGGTTTGATTACTTGTAAGTGACTTTTTACAGCAGGTAATTATCAGCGTTGGTTATCTTTCCTTACTAATAATTTCCCCAATAGGTTTAAATTTTTCAGTATGTGGGTTTGTTGTCATGTCTTGTGTTTCTATTAATGTAATTTAGTTGTCAATATCATGTGCAATAAAACTTGGCTTTGTTACATAGGTCACTTTTTTCCTATTAGCTCTTCAGAGAAGATGAGTTGTTGGATTACAGTTCAGGGCCGTTACGTAAATAGATTGCTGAACTATTTTATTGATGAATACATATATTTACCATTATCTCAGCATTCTACATGCTTTTTAATTACTCAGTCAAGACTGGAATTATCTAATCACCCGTAAGAAAATTATTTTATTTGGCATAAACTTCTAGCTACTTGGTACATAACAGAGATGAAAGTGGTAATTTTTAGATAATGTGTGAGTACATGTTTAGAGTGTTACTGATAAACCAGTGTGGTTGGTAGGCCACCTTGTTGCTGGTGGCATTCAAATCAGGAAATACCTAAATATGTCAGATGTCATAATGCTGGAGCATTTCTATTTGATCTTGATATATTTATGATAACTCTGCTACAAGTTCACTAACAAATTTGTTGTGTCTGAATTGTTGTTTGTCCCCTGACATTAACATACAGGTTAATTATCACACTTAGAACTGAATGCAAACAATTTGTTTGTGGCTTGTTAGCAGGTATAATTTGAGTTGGTGAATATGAATATAATCTTGTCTTCAAAAAAGAGTCAGCCATGGAATGTTTTTAATGCTTGGCATTGGCGCTAGTCCAGATATGCCACTTGCTGTTACAGTTTAGAGAGCCTGGTATGAATTGGGCCAAATGATGATTCAGAAGTGCCTGTCACACAATTTAACACACTGAAAATGGTACAGAGGTCTGAAACTCAGCACTTATATAGAAGACTATGAACTAGTGATCAGATAATTTGGAAATCCATAAAATTTGGCATGAATTTAAGTCCTTTAGTAGTTTTTGGTGCATTCTTTGTGCAAAATAAAATATTTTGCAATGTATTTTGTAACAGCAGAAGTCTTGTCTTTACATCTGTTGCCTGAAAGCATATTGACATGGATAATTGTAATATTTTAAAATTAATTTTATAATGTAATGGAGTTCTCTTATTTGCTCTTTGTTAGGCTTTGTTGTGGAGTGACAAACTGTTGTCTCTGAGCCATATTTGATGCTTTAGATTTTACATTAGGAAATTTATTTTCTTTTTTGCTGTGGTATCAGATCAAGACGGTATCAGTGATATGAATATGTAGTTTGGATTGGAAGATCAGAAATGTATCCAAAGTGCAGGCTTTTGTGAACAGTGATGAACCTTCACGTTTAATAAAAGCAGGGAATTTATTGATAATCCTATTTGCAAGGAACGCTGTATTATGACACTATTTGTATTCATTCATTTACATTACAAGCCAGTCTCATACATCAATGTATTACTTTTTGCGCAGATTACTTCCCAAAATTATTAATGGCGGTATTGCAGGAATCATCGGAGTATCGTGTGTGTTCCCGCTGGATCTAGTGAAGACACGGCTGCAGAATCAGCAGATTGGACAAAATGGCGAGCGTCAGTATCGTTCAATGTGAGTCAGTATCATTGATCCAATGGTAGTCCATAAGAGAATTCTCTAGGGCAAAGCCATCTTTACACTTGCTGCTGTGTGAACTGAATACTGAATCTATGTGTGCACAGGTTGGACTGCTTCCGGAAGACATACAGAGCTGAAGGATACTTTGGAATGTATCGAGGTGAGTGCAACTACATGTGTTGAGACACTGCATCCCCACTAACCAAGTGAGTTTAGTGTGCACCATGACTATTATATATTTGTAATAAATTTTTAAATAAGTTTTAATGGAAGTTTATACTTAATAAAATCAATACTTTAAAGCCCAGTAGTACCTATGTAATATAAGCTTTTATATTTTTGCAAACCTTAACGTGTGACGTATGGGTTGCTGTGTGAGCCGAGGTGTGTGTTGTGCACAGGTTCTGCTGTCAACATTGTGCTGATTACTCCAGAGAAAGCTATCAAACTTGCTGCCAACGACTTCTTCAGACATCACCTCAGCACACCGGGCGGGTGAGGGGTTATTTTGTAATAGCCTGCCTGACAAATGAAGGTCTTCCTTCCATCTGCACTATTTTGTGCTAAAACATAAAACACTGTTACCACACGATGCATATGCAGTGTCATTATCTCCATGGGATATGAACATGTTCACATCATGACAGTGTGATAGCTTGGATATTCCAGGATATTCTTTATATCATTTTAGCCCTCTTCTTGCATAAATATAAATGCTTCAGTGACATCCGTTGGAGTTATTTTTATGCTTTGGTAGATCTTGTAAAATATGGGAACAGTCTTGCTTTCACATATTGGCCTCTGTTCCAGGAAATAAGATTTTGTGTGTGCATGTGTATTGTCTTTATTCTGTGTGATTGATAGGATTTCGTCTTGTTTTGTAGAGGCCTGCCTCTGGGACGGGAGATGGCTGCTGGTGGATTGGCAGGCCTGTGCCAAATAATCATTACCACACCAATGGAACTTCTCAAAATTCAGTTACAGGATGCAGGACGTGTGGTCTCCAAACAGGGTGAGTTTCTATCACTTCGTTGGAGTTTTATTCACTAGGCACCCAGCTTTAATCTGGACTGCTTTATGACTCTGACTTTGTGTTTCTCCTCAGACTCCAAGCAAATGTTGGAATAGTGCCCTAAAGTAAACCAGGACAACCTAACCTTCAAAATCATTCTCCTCTCATAATCATCACAACTCATTTGATGGAATATAACCTTTTCAGTTGAAAAGGCATTGTTAAATACCTAATAAATGTAACAAAATATTTGTTCCCAACATTTGACAGTGAAGCTACTGCGTCAGGCTGTCTCCATGTGGCAAATTGTCATCATCCTTTGTAGTCTTAAAATTGATAGGGGACCCAGAAAACAAGTGACAGAATACATTTTTACAGAAGAGAGTCCAAAATTTGTTAATAGAATTTGAAGATAAACAGCTACAACAGTTTGAACTTTTAAAAACAATAGACTGATCAAGGATACTGAAAAAGGAGTTAGGTTCAGAATTTAAAGACAAGAGACTTATGTGATGACTCAGAAAAAAATGGTTCAGTCAGGTGCTGAAAGATCTAAGGAAGTGCAGTAAGAGTTGGCAAGAAATAACAAAGTAAAGGTTGTGAGGAAGACAGAAAATATTAGAGACTTATTGTCCATCACAATTGGTAGTGTTGAGCCTACCAGTTCTTTTATCATGGAGACAAGCCTTTTGCTTTGGCATTTAAATTTACTGTGTACAGATTCTATCAGACTATAATTTGTTAGCCTCTTTTTTTCTTTCTTTCTCCTGTTTTAGTTCACTGGCACCACGAATGACTCATTCAGTATTGTAACTAGGCTGTTGATTGGAAAACCACGGCTCAGCTCCAGGCAGGGTATAATTTTGCATTTTGCCAGACCAGCACTGGGCCTACCCAGCCTCCTATCTGTGAAGCTGTTTGCCTCCATCTAGTGCTTATGTTAAGAATATGGAGCTCAAACTCCACTCCCCCCACCATACATGGTGTGATACTTGTTTAAGCACCTGCCTTTTAGTACATTAGCTGCAGCATGCAATTATCACTGTGTTCTATGTTAGGCTTGGAAAAGAGTAAATGGAGAATTTGATTGTCAGGTGGCGTGGTTGTACCCCGGCAGACAGCGCTGGGAATCACACTGGAATTGCTGCGCACAAAGGGCATCTTGGGGTTATACAAAGGGGTTGGTGCTACTGCATTCCGTGATGTCAGCTTCTCAATAGTGTACTTCCCTCTGTTTGCCCACCTTAATGCGCTTGGTCCCAGGAAGAAGGATGGATCAGGTAAGAACTTGTCTCCTGTAAGTTGTGGTGTTCTGGGTTGTGATGCTGTGTGGATATGGCATGCTGCCTTCATCATTAGCCCACCAAAATATTGGTATCTGCTTGCAAGTCCACATAGCATCATGGCCCAGAAGACTGACATCAATGACGAGACTCTGAGAACCTCACATCTCTATGCAAAAGGATAAAGTTGATAAATTTCTCCCTCATCTTCCAAAAGTTGTGTACATTATGTTACGTGGGATATTTTCATCATTAAACTCACTGGTTTTTGCAGGCTGCATAACTGGGGTTTGATTCCTGGCTGGGGTTGGGACTTTTCTCTTCATTACCACATCCAGCTGGTTCTGGGGCTTGCTCAGTTCACTCACTATTCGGTGTGGGTTATTTTACTGTACTTATGACTGGGTGTTGGTTTCAAGTGTGGTCCACTCCAGTTTTGTTTTAATGCATGCTGTTACTCTTTGGGTACACCATCAAAGTTTGGGATGTCCTGTCTTAATTAATTAATAAAAATACAATTATGCCTTTCGGTATATTCAGAGAGAAATTGTTACAGTTAACAGGAGAGTACACTCTCCTCGACAGTAAAAGAAAAAAAATAAGCTTTAGAAGAACTCAGAATTGAATCTTGATAACTATTTTGATTGTATGAAGTATAGTGTTTTTCTTACAAGCCCTGTGGCATGTACAGTAGGGCCCCGCTAATACGGCGCTTCTCAATTGCATACATATACAGTAGGGCCCCACTTTTTGGGCCCCCCACGCGCTCAACAGATGACTCGGAGAAGTGTGTCCGGCGATATTTCCTCATCGCTGATTCAGTCTGTTTACTGCTTTTGTGCGCTCCGCGTGTCTCTGTATTTCTGGAAATTTTTCAAAGTTATTACATAGTATAAACATATTAATTTTCAAATTTATATTCATCAATCACTATAAACTGAGGATGAAAATATTTTAAGCAATGTGTGTACTACTGATATTCATTTTACTTTCATATCGTTTTCTTAGGCCTAGCGCTATTGTGCACTTACTATATGATAGCGTAAACATCTTATTAGGCTTTGATTTGCATTTGCAAGTGAAAAAAAGTAAAGATCCGCTTTTCGGCGATTTTCGCTATTTGGCGGGGGTCTGGTACCTAACCTGTCGTATATACGGTGTCCTACTGTATCTACTTCGAAATAGTTTTGTTTGGCTCTTGTGTGTAAATAAATGCTCACCCCTGTTATATGGGGTAGCATATATGACCAGTGAATGGATGGGAACCTTACATAGAAGAAATTGAATTCTCATATAATTGTGGAAGTGTTACAACTAAATTCCTCTGTGCTGGGAGCTATAGTTTGTGGTGTTCTGATGCAGGAGAAGCTGTGTTCTGGTGCTCCCTGCTGGCTGGCATTGGAGCAGGTGCTACTTCAGCATTTGTAGTGAACCCATTTGATGTAGTAAAAACACGACTGCAGCTATTGAAGCGGGCAGAGGGTGAGGTTGCATATAAGGGCATCACTGATGCCTTCATGTGAGTAACTCTTCTCTCTTTAACCCCTCAGATATGTTGTTCATATAAATAAGATTTAAGAATTTGGTCCTCAAAGGAAACATGACTCATCTCAATGATGATGATCAGTTGGTTACCCTGTTTAGGGAAATAATTATTATTTACACTGAGAATCATATGGAACATGAAAATACGCTCTGAGAAAAATTCAGTTACTGGTCATTAAAGCTGGTGATACGTATAATCACCACTGAGCAACCCTTTCAGGCTCCTGAATTGAAAATTAATTATCCACTTCCCCATCTGTTCATGTAAATTATATCTGAGGACCTTTATTTATTTTCAAGGCATTGTGAGATTTTTATATGTGCATTACTTGCATGCTGATGATTTTATTATAGCTCCCTTCTCAAGAATGAGGGGCCAACAGTGTTCTTCCGAGGTGCAGCCTGCCGTATGATTGTGATTGCTCCCCTCTTTGGCATTGCACAGATGGTTTACTTCCTTGGCGTAGCGGAAAAACTCATGGGTATGAACGAGTCTTAAAACAATTACTTCTTATCTTCCTCTCTAAGGCTTCGAGCTGCAACGAAGACAATAAGCCCTTCCTTCCCTTGCCTGTATGTTCCTAGACATGTCTATGTGATAGTCGTAACTAAATATCAGTATAACTATGGCAATTTTTAGCTTGTGTTATCAGATGTTTTGTATATAGTGCACTCTCTTCATACATGTACTCACAAAATGTGCAGATGAGTATATGAATCACTGTATAAATGAATACAGGAGTTACCGTATGGCATCCTGTAAACAAAACAAAGTTTTTGAGGGCCTTATTGTGTTTGAATGCTCACAGGCATTTTAAATGTGACTGGTCATTGTGGAAAGTAATGTTAATGCAAGCTGGTGATAGATATGTAGCAGCTATCACATTTCTTGTGCTCTTAGGGCTGAGTATTTTCTGTGTAAATTGTATTAATGCTTCCTCTTGAGCTGTTGTTATCTCTGGCAGTGCAGGCTGCAGTCTATCCTGTCAGAGGTCAAATACCAATGCAATTATCAAGGGTTTTCTCTTTGCCACCTTGTCCAGAATTTTTCTTAACCTCAGGTGAAGCTCCTGTCCATCAGTTCTGCCTGTTAAATTTCCATGGTTGATGTGTTTTATTCTGTACTCTTGAATTACAGTTTTATAACTATCTTTAACCTGTTTAGATGAGGAAGAATAATTTGGTAATGTTACATGTTTAAACTGGCTGTATAGTGCCTCATGTGATGAGACGCTGGCTTTTCACATCAAAGGCCTAGGCTGTATCCCTGGGAAGTTCATGTTTTATTATTTTTCTCATTTTTATATGCTTGGTTTCATTATTGGCTCTCACTCATGATAAAGTAAAACAGTGTTGAAGGCATATAGTATAAGAGTCTGCATTTTGAATTTTTTAATATGTTTGCAGCTGAAGAAGTCTCTCTAATTTAAGTTATATTTTACTTCTAGACTTTCTGCATTTTTGGTATTAACTTGATACTAACTTATTATAATATCTGTTACATTTTTAGATACATTTACAGCAGAAAGCTGAAAAAATGTTCCTATTAAATTTGCCATGTCCCCCCCCCCAACATGTACAGACTTCAGAATCACTGCATGTATTTTTATTTTGTTCAATATTGGGGAGTTGTGATATAATTTGTTGAAACATTCCAGTTTTGGTTGAAATCAGATGATAACAGGCACTTCATTTCAGTTTCTATAGGTTCTCCCACGTGGCTCTTGAATCTGAATTATCTGTTTGATATTTGTTTCCACATTTACCGCTGTGAATCTTGTAATATTTTGTCAAGATGTAATGATTCCCTCCAAGGGAAGGCATACATTTCAGTAGCACAGGGTGCATTAACATTTTGCTTTCTCATATCTGTTAGTTGTTAATTTTATTTATAATTAGTATTTGGATTATTAATGATTGTTTTGTTGTATAATGATATTATTTATTTGTACAAACTTTTGATGTAAATACGTCTATGAGGAAGGGTCATTCGGCAAAAAAGTGTTACAAAAAAGTGTTACTTCATTGTTATGTTACCTAGGAAATGTCAACCTTCATTGTTATGTTACCTAGGAAACGTCATCTGTTTACTAGGTAACATAACAATGGTTACCTAGTAACAAAAAAGTGTAACTACATTGTTATGTTACCTAGGAAACTTCATCTGTTTATCAACAAATTGACAAGAATGGTTACCTAAGGAACATCTATTTACTCGGCATTGTTGTTACCTAGGAAACATTACATTACCCTACCTTACATTACATTACCTTACCTTACATTACATTACCTTACATTCAGCTACCACAGACCCATCTTAAGCGTAACTAATTCAAGTTAAATAAGCAAAGTCTTAATCAAACTTTACTCAATTGTAAAGCGGGTATAAAGGAAATATTTAGAATAAAGCCAAAATATAAAATTCCTTTCCGTATAGACGTATTTACGTCAAATTCTCCGGAACCGTGGTTCCACTGACAACTTTTTGTTTTTACAAAGTTTTGGGTGCCTAATTAAGAGCATTATTTTCTAAATTGGAGTATAGCAGAGTGCATTAAGTTGTGCTTAACTCACAAACCAACCAGGTCCAAGTCATTTGTCATACATGTAGTCAAAAGGGTGAGTTATGAAGTGCTTCATGCACACACGCCTCCTATATAAAGTAGTGGTAATGATTGCTTTCTGTTTATGTAGAAATTATGTGAATTTACAAATAAGTGGTCATGGCAGTGTGAATTATGAAAAGGCGGTAATAGATGTTTGTCCAAGGCAGCTGAAATTTCCTGTGAGTTTGTAGGTTATTTTAAGTTACATGGTTTCTTGAACCAAAATACAAATGTATGTATATAAGAATATTATTGACAGTAAGCTTGTTTTCAAGCGTAGTTAATTTGTACCAGACTTTAGTACAGTAAGGTAGTGAAATGCTTTTAACTGAGTTCACTTCTAGTACATTCTTTAGGTGCACGGATAGGCAGTTGAGTGAGACTTGTTTAACACATTGACTTTGATTAATAACTATGCTTAAGCCTGAAAGTAACTTTACATGTCACTATGCAAGCTGAAGGTGTCAGTGTTGGTCTTCTGGGCAGACTCCACAAGTCGTTTATTCACTCACTTAAATATTACTCAAGAGGCAGTTATTTACAGATTGTTATATTGGCACTAACCTACAAACTCGAATGTGGCAATGAAGGGAGTTCACGTGGAATTGAACTGAGGTGGGGTTGAAGAGTAGCTGTTTATTTTGTTCTTCTTAGGTTAGGTGCACCTCTGTTTTCCTGTATTTCTGTTTGCTCAAATTTGAAAATTAATTGTTACTCTGAAACGAGATTTCCATTCCAATAAGAAGCCTAATGTAGTATTTGTCAAGTAGGTGGCAGTTGCGTCTCTTTCACTGAACAAAAATGCACATGGATGGGAGAATGTTTTAGCAATATATTGTCAATTATTAAAGAAATGCTGTATCCCTTCGTAGTAACTCATTTTTGAATCCATAGTTACCTTTCATGGCTGATGTTTGCAGGCACAGTGATAAGTTAGTAATGCTTAGAACACTTTGACTTTTCTCTTAAATCCTTGCCAGCTCATAACCATCCTAACCATCATCTCCACAAACATTGCATCATGGAAGAGAAATGTGTAAATGAAATGTATGATTATGTAAACAATTTAAATTGAAGCAGTTAACTCTTGAAAGTAAGTAATCAATTGGCTCTCAAAGGTATTTCACTTTGTTAAATAAAAAGTTTATATTAATTCAAATATTTCCAAAATAAGTGCTTCATATTATTCACAAAACTTCTGTACATCTGTGATGTTTTTCAGCAAGTAAGTTTGTTTTGTACCTTTACAGTCATTTAATGACACATGAATTGGTGTACTTTCAGCAGCTGTCAGAAAATGCCAATTGATTAACGTGAATGATGGAATGCATTGTGCATTGTGCTAGAAGTAGGTGTGTTTTATGTGATTTACAGTAGTTGTCTTATACTGTAAATTATCTCCATAAATATTTGAGGAGGCAGATAGACATCTTGAGTGGTATCAAATATTGATGTGCAGGTGTGAATGAAATGAATTTCTGATGATAAAATAAATTGTTTTGTTCTTATTACTCTTAATATAGTAATGCAACCATGACATGTGTATTAATATTCCCTCTTTTTCCCTATTTTGGGAAATTTAATATTTTCCTTCTGGTGTATTTTCATTTTCATATGTTCCACATTCTCTTATTCAATAACTCATCATTTCATATTTAAATAATTAATATAGTGAAGGTAGCGGACAGCAGAGGAACAAGTAAAGAAATACAAAATGCTGTCATGTTTATTCAGAAATGAAATATGGGTAGAAAATGTAATATTTTGGAATGCTTTTTATTATCACATTGGTAAGATATATTCAGAAGGTATCTAATTTTAATATTAGATTAGTTAGGGTTTTCCTCAGTTCCACCAACTGAATTGTGCTGCATGATATCTCCATCAGTAACACAAGTGTCTGTACAGACGGTTAAATTCCTGGTAGGGGAAGGTGATTATTCTTCAATACCATGTTCATACCAGCTGAGAGACCCTGTATCCTACTTGGTATGTACCAGCAAGTGAATATGGAGCCTGTTCACTTACCTCCATTTAGTGCCGAGGTTAAGAATATGTGGAGCTGTACCGCCTCTCTCCCATACATCTTTATGATTTGCTTTGGCATAGTAACAGTTATAGGTTATAATCTGAGTAGTTGATATAGCTTTGTGCCATTACTGAATAACTGTACCGGACTTCAAATGTCACTGAGAGGAAGAACATACTAAATCTCAAAGAGATTTACAAAATAAGACCTCGTAAAATGAAAATTTCCACTTGTCTTTTGAGATTCACAGTTTGTTAGGAAAGTGTAAAGTTTTCTACCGGTACGTACTGGTAACTGGATCGTTTCAATCGCAGCAATAATCATTTACCTTGTTAATGTTCCCTCCGAGGGTTATTTCATTCAAACTATTCAAGTGGTAGCTTCATTGCATTCTGTCCACATATCCTTCCACTACACTGTAAGGAACTAGTAAAAATGTTATTCTCTGCAGAGCATCAATATTGCAGGCATAACATGGGGTCAGCTCGTTTCTTGTGCTAACTCATTTTAATTTATAGTGCCATATTTATTCCAGGGACTAAATGTGTTGCTTTGAAAAAGTATGACTAGAATATGTTATTTAATTTAGTGAATTTAGTTTGTGTACGTACTGTCCTACTTAAAACAGTCTTGACATAATTTGTGTGGAACTGTATCAAAAATCAGATTTGTTGTATTTAGGCAGTGTATGCAGAAATGTTATTCCTTTTGATTAATTAGGTCTCTGTTGCCAGCAATGTGTCTAAAGCCCTGACATAGTTTCTGCATTCACTGCTGTCACACTTATATTCCATTAAAACTTTGTTGTGCAGTGTGAGTAAGTATGAACATGACATGACATGGTGTTGTCAGTGAGCTTTAGGGAATTAAAACATTACAGAGCAAATGTTTGTTTTAATTTAGTGTCTGTTGATGAACTTCCAGATTCTTTAAACATAGATATATTTTGACCAGCTGAATAACTTTTAAACTTCTATTGGAATTTATTTGTGGTTTATTTAATGTCAGTAGCTCAGACTATGTAGCGTCAATTGATGAACTGGAAAGGATATGAAAGGAAGAGGTTATAGAACTTGACTGGAAGCAATGAAAAACTTCAGTCGGGATAGTCGGAGATCTGAACTTGAGACCTACAGAATACAAAGCAGAAGTGCTAACCAGTCAGCTACAACTTTCAGCAACTTCCATGGAATTAAAAATCACATTTTTCTTTTTTGTTCAGTTTTAATATACCCACTATGCTGTACATACATATATACATACATCTAACAACAACACAGTTTCACCATATTTATGTTTTTTGATTAATCTTTCAAATACCTCTTTTCATCTTGCCATAGAAGTAACAGTAATTCTATCTATAACTGGACAGACAAGTCAACTTGCAGTTTGTTCTGAGATGTGATCCAGTCTTCTTGGGAGATAAGCCACATCAGTATGGATATGTTCACTGTACTGGCACAGCTGATCACTCAAGAAGATGAAGTGGCAGTTAAGTGCCATTAGAACTTCTAATTATATATTGCTCTGAGATACTTGACCGCCTGTCCATATTTATTAATGTACATTTTATAGTTATATGACAGAACATTTATGAAGTGAAACTGTTTAAAATGAAAATGCAATTCACAATGTTTCACATGTTGATAGTATGTTCAAAAGTAATTACTATAATACTAGGAAGATTTCCGTCTTCTGGGTTGGTGCGCTGTGTAGTCTGGTCGATGTTAACCAACGTTTCAGAGGTCATACGGCCTCGCCCTGATGACGGAGGCAGTATGACCTCTGAAACGTTGGTTAACATCGACCAGACTACACAGCGCACCAACCCAGAAGACAGAAATCTTCATACTCACCGCTGTGAGAACCTCAAGTCTTACACTATAATACTAAATGACAACAAAAATTTCTGTTTATAAGGTGGTGCTCTGAGAAAGGGTGCATGTTGATGGGTAATATTGTTGTTGTCTGTAATACCAATATAATGCAATGAAGAGGTTTCTTCATGTCTCCCTTCCTCTATAAATTCCCACCCCATGAACAATACAGATGGAATGCAGCTATCACTAGAATGTGGCATCTGGCATCTAGTCGGCAAACTTGCGATTAGGATTGCGTCCAAACAGTGCACCTCGTATCTCTGGTACGAGCTGCTGAGCGATAAGATCGAGGCGGGCTTCCAAAGTATTGGCGATCTTGATGCGACCTTTTTGCCCCTGCAGTTCTATTCCTCCTGTTGTGTCGGGAGGGAGAAATGATTCCGAGTCCATCTTCACAGTCACGTCTTTGCCTGTATTATCTTTGTACTCTTTTGCCACAACTTGCAGCAGGCCCTCTACTATCGACTGGTCAACTTCTCGGACACGTAGTGTCACATTTGCCTCCAACAACTAAGTAAAGAATAACAAAAACATTAAGAGCATTCAAACACTGTACTTACAGAATATTTCTTGAATCAACCCATACCTTTAATTTCTAATTAAATTTTAGTTGGGTCATTTACGAGTTGTAACAAAACTGGTATCTGACTGAAGAAGTTATTTATAGAGCTGAATAATTTCTGTTCACAAAGCAGCCCATCATTCTGTAAAACTGTACAATCTTAACTGCAACCACATATAGTAACGCCCTTAAAGTAAACATGCTATGGAAATGAATTTTTGGTATTTATAACAATGACTGCATACTAGTCACAGGGAAGAATACAAAATATAGGTGAGATAAAATACTGTATAATGAATGGACTTAAGATAGTAATACTCCCAACATTACCTGCAGCAAACCTTGTAGAATGAGTAACTTCAGGATCTCGGTATATTTACTGGGATTTCTCGTCACCTCACCCAACCGACGTCTAGCTTCTTCTAGCACATTTCGAACATGATCTTCACGAACTTTCAAGGCCTTCAGCCGTGCCTGGTTCAGCATGTTCGATGACTGACTGTAATGTTACAAAATAATTAACCCTTTTACTACAATCACACGAGATCCCAGGTTGTTCTAAAACACACCCTTCATATTACTCAACATTCTCCCTGTATGCAGAATTCAAAGCTACTCCTTGACATATTTTATTTCCAGAAAATGATTGGTTTGCAGGTTACTTAATCATTTGCAGTGATAACGTGAAATTCTCACAGCAGCAAACATGTCAATATTGTACTGGGTTGTAACATTGTGAATATTTGTAGGTTGATACCATTCTTTTGTATATTTCTATGAAATGGTCGTATCTATTCAATTCCACACAGCATTAGAACCCACATCAATATTGATACATACATGACAATATAGAAGCAAGGCAGGTGCCTATAGAATAATATAACCTCATAAGTACAGTAAGGGTATATGAAGGTACATACATTTTTTTTTGCAGCTCTACTTGTTTCTCTTTCCTCTCATAATATTCCATGATCTTCAAACGCTGCTGTTGTACAAGTCGCCCTTTCTCTATATTAAATTCCTCCTCCGCTTTTGCATCGATTTCTTCGGCTTTTTCATTGGCTTCTTGCTCAATGAACGCCATCATATGCTTAATCTAAAACAAAACATTACAAGGCAAATGCATGATTGTTTTTAATATCAAGTTTTGTATGTTACTCCTGTATAGTAGTAAAGTAGGTCTCACAAGTAGATATGACAAGAAAGCTTATTTTACTGACCTGCTTTTGAACATCAGCATCGCTAAGAGCCATTTTGTTATATAAGCTAAATAACGATTAAAAACTATAACATAAACAAAATGTACTGAAAATTTGTACAAATTATTTGCTCTAAATCGTCCTTACAGTACAAGACAGTATGCGATCATATGATCGTGGGACAGCTACGGCTGTCAAATCAAACACCATAAATGTTTCTTATCTGAATTAAATAAGGTGACTGATGAATCAACTTTGCTAGTAAATTAAAATACATAGCGATCTAAAATGTATTGTTGCAATAGTAACTTTTTACGTTCCATTTGTAGTACCAATAGGCAATGTAATTCAAGTTCATTTGACTGCATTCAGGTTGCTAATATGGCAGAACGTTTTTGTTTGAGATTGAATACTGTTGTTTAGCAATTATATTTTAATTGTAAGTTTGTTTAAAATTGTGCTTATACTTCAGAAATCTTGCATTTACGTTTCTGTTTTATTTTACACTTTGTTTTTGGGTATTTAATGTAACATAGCATCTGTTTCACAGATATAAATTCTCACTGTCCAACTTTTTTTGAGCTTAAATAATTTATTTTGAAGATAATAACACCTTTAATTGTATTACCTGTATTGAGATAAACATTAATAATTAGACTTATAAGCCTTTGTAATTTTGTATTTTCAAAATATGTGTATGGGCATCCAGTTATGGTGTGTTTAATTAGGAAATGAGCTATTTGTAGGAACAGTAGCTTGATTTAGTCAGTTGACAGCAACTAACTCGTATCTTGATGTCGTGCGTTCGTAGCATATTACTTGCGTGTTATGTTATGCATTAGTTTCGAGTCATTCTTTATGTGTTCTTGGACAAAAGTGTGTGAATGTGCAAATCTGTGTTTAGTAGGTTATGGCGAACCTGAACTTCCAACAACCTCCAAGGAGTATAGCAAGTCAGAACCTCAGGGGGGGAGGGTTCAGCACAAGTTCTCTCTCAGGCCATGTTACGCCCACGTCAGGCATGTTCCCGGGCTCTGCGGGCCTCACAAGTTCCTTCACACCTCAGCAGTTGTCCCCAAACAGGAATCTTCAAATGGGCAACCGTTTGTTTAGCAGTGGACAGAGAGCATTTCCAGATAGGCGGTCCATACCAGGTCTTGGAGTCAGGTTAGAAAGTGTGTTAATTATTAAGAGCATGCACTGCTTTGTATTCGTATGTTGCTTTCGGTTCACCTGTTCCTGTTGCATTGTAACACGTTTTAAATTTTTCTGATTTGTGGTGTAAAGCAACATATTGGAAGAGATACAGTGAAATTGTGTAGAATTCAACATGTATTTGTTTAATTTAATATTATTACATAGCATGTTGCCACCATGAGTTCAATTTTGATATAAAAAGCATTGCTCCTGCTGGCTTTTACTTTGATTATTTTCACATGTTTCTGTAGCTTATTAAAGTGAACTGTAATACATGCAGATGGACTCTTGCAATGTTACTTATCATGAAAGTGTGTGTTGTGAAACATTTTATTGGCTATCAGGTTATCCAGAATTTTAATTACCCACATTGGAAAGTGTATAGTGTGGTCTTCTGTGTTGTGATGCCATGTGCTTTGTGCTTTAGCTTATGCTGCTGTCAGTACCTCAGTACTATGTAGTGCTTAATGATAGAGTAGTTGATGAATAATTAATTAGGAAGGAAGCAGTTGTTGCAGAGTTTAAGATATTTACTGGGAAGGACTGAGTAAGGCCACAGGAAGTCTCGTCAAAATATTTAGTCTTCAGGCTGAGATTTTAACCCTGGACGTTTGAGATATAAAGTAGCAACACTAATATCTGAGCCACTATATTTGGTAATTCTTTGTAGTTTGTGGGCACTTACCAATGATTTAACATACAGTAACAGCCTAGAACACCACCATCTACATTTTCATTGCTGTGAAGAACACAGATCTCATCAAAAGGCATGTAATTACTGTTTTCAATGGCTTCAGTTTGCAGGTGCAATGAATGCTCCTTTATGACAAAATAACTCATGTTATTTACAGCATAAGGATTCCCTCCTCCCTATTCTTCCAGAAAGGAAGTCACAGTGTTGTTTGTTTAAGCTGAGTTGCTCATTTCTACACACATTCAGTCTTGTGGTGGTTTTATTTTGCTCTCTCTTACATAGCATCTCTACTTTGCCTCCTGTGAACATTTATGTTTGACATATTAATACAGTGTCTACCATATCAGTTACTCAGTCATTTTAACATTGATGACACTGCAACAGCAAAGTGATGGCCAACACAAGACAGTGAGTATGGCTTAGCAGTCCAAACATCTTCCTCCTCGTATATGAATATTCATGTGAAACAGACTGTAGTCTGTGGTCAGGTGGATTTTGGTATGTGTCCGTTAGATTTAAGTCACATTTCTGGAGCCCTGCTATTATCTTCCTATGCTTGAAATTTCATAATTGTTTTTGAAATATCAATGTGGGTAGATCAAAATGATTAATAAACTTGTATTGTGTGTGCACACAGTAATTCAAATCCGGTTGGCAGCATGCCCAGTTTTGGAATACCCCAGGGTCGCTACGGGTCACAGGGAACTATCAGCAACTTCCACACAGTGTTTGGTGTTGGAGGAGGTGGGGAGACAAGTACGCCACCACTTCTCGACTTGTCGGAGTTTCCATCTCTCACGAACAGAGCGGGCCAGGGTGATTCGATGCCACAGCCAAGTCCGATGCCAGGGAAGCAGCCCTATGGTGAGTGCAACAATTATATGCCGGCCTGTAACTTTGGTTTCTCTGTGCCAGTGCAGAGAGTAGCGCCAGTGCTGCCTTATTTGTGTGAAGGTACTGTGTGCTGCCCCACGTTTTCTAGGTCGCAGCTGTGTTGTCTCATTTGGCACCAAATGACCTGTTCACTCAGTAAATAAGTTGTTAACCTTTAACCAGAATGTATTGTTGTACATGGAAAATCTGATATGATGATGATGATGACATCAAAACAGACAGTGATATGTCTGACATGATGAGTCTTTGTTAAGTGGTGGGGTTGAAGAATTCTGTGTTGCAGGTTGGATTTAAATTTTGTGATCCTTTTCTTCCACTTCTGTTTTTATCGTTAACAATTATCTTCATATTTAGCATTATATAATCTGTTCTTTGAGGAAGCGTCATAAATTAACTAAGAAACGAATTGTGTACAAATCTGTTGCCAGAGATTACTTCTTTCCATCCCTTTCACATCTTGTAGAATAATAATCTCTGAGTAATTTTAAACTATGTGTTGCATTGATTTTAGTTGGGATGGTGAAGCAGCCAACAGCAGAAGCCAGTGAGTTTACAATGAGCTCAGAGGACTTCCCTGCACTGCCTGGGACTCAGAGCACTGACGGACCCTCTCCAGGTGGGAGTGTGTCGGGGGACAAAGGCATTTCAGGAGGAGTAGGCCCAGAACTGGGCAGCCAAGAGTCTACACCTACCAGCAGAGCACCTGGCGCTGAGAAGTCACAGGCAGCTAAAAGGGGCATTCAGACCTCTCCTGATGGTGAGTATAATGGTATTTTCCATGGTTGAAGCTGCCTTCATCACAAATTGTCTATGATGTTGAGAATACAGAGCCAAAAAACCAAATAAATTGGCCTTTTATAAACATAAATATAATAGAAGAATTGAAGAAACTGTTGTTTGCTAAAATTTTGTTTTCTCTGTTTATTTTACTTCAGATTTCCACATGATGAAGTCTGCTGTGGGCATGATATTTCTTGTTATTTGTTATGCCTCTGTGTAATAAGTGGTATAACATTTCCTACATTATGTTATCTTGCTGTCTGATGTTTTTTGAGTGTCACTGAGATGTTAACATCTTTACAAAGGGAAAGTGACGCACATCCCGGCAAGCATGGTAAAGGATCAGTTTGGTATGGTGGGGTTGCTTACATTCATCCGAGCGGCAGAAACAGACCCAAACCTTGTTTCACTGGCACTGGGACAGGATCTCACGGCACTTGGTCTCAACCTCAACTCTCCAGAGAACTTGTACCCAAACTTTGGTGGTCCTTGGGCAGAAACACCTTGTCGTCCCCAGGACATCGACTTTCACGTGCCACCTGAGTACCTCATCAATGCAACAATCAGGTAAGCAAGCTAGTTTTTTTGTATGTCCACAGAGTGCCCGAAGATGGCTAATTTATATTTATTTCAAGGGTTAACAAGTCACATTTGTGGAGAAATGACTGTCAGTTGTGCCAAAATCACCAAGTCCTTTCTGAAATATCCTAAACCACTGAATATGCAACATGCCCCATTTTTTTTAACAAATTAAAAATATTTATGTGAATTTATTGAAGTCAACTTTGTAATTCCAAAGATGCTAGTCTGTTTAATTGTTTTATTACAAAAATATGAAAGGAAGACATAAAATATGAATAATAACATGAACATTGATGTGCATATGTGCACACAGTTTCTGTTTTTATGTGTTTTTAGGTATTGAACAATAGTTTTGTCTTCCACCACATGAAAATTGTTGAGATACACTGTTATTTGGTCATTTTGGTGAAGATGAATTGATCTGAAACAAATTATTATTGCAGGGAGAAGCTAGCGCCTGTGAAGCTGAATCGGTATAAGGATGACCTGTTGTTCTACATGTTCTATACCAATGTGGGGGATGTTTTGCAGTTAGCAGCTGCGGCAGAGCTGTGAGTACCAATTAGAAAGCTAATGCAGTGTGACTGAGCAGAGTATCATCATGACAACTCTGTATCATGTTTGCCTCAAATCTAAGACGGTGCACATGTAATGAAATACAGAGAAGGAAAATCTGTTTCTTTGCAGTGTAATCTCTGTACTCTTGGTTCTGTCTGAAAGACAAAATCGAGCAGCTGTGCTGTTAATTTTCTTTTTGACGTAAATACGTCTATATTTTCGGGTCAGTGTCATTCGGCAAAAAGTGTAATGAAAAAGTGTAACTGCATTGTTATGTTACCTTGGAAACGTCAGTTGTTTACTCGGCATTATTGTTGCCTAGCAAATGTCAATTGTTTACTCCGCATTATTGTTACCAAGGAAACGTCATCTGTTTACTTAGCATTGTTGTTACCTATAAAACATTTCATTACATTACCTTACCTTACCTTACATTTCATTACATTACATTACTTTACATTACATTCAGCTACCACAGACCCATCTTAAACGTAACTAATTGAAGTTAAATAAGCAAAGTCTTAATCAAACTTTACTCAATTGTAAAGCATGTATAAAGGAAATATTTAGAATAAAGCCAATATATAAACTTCCTTTCCGTATAGACGTATTTATGTCTAATTCTCCGGAACCGTGGTTCCACTATCACTTTTTCTGAAGTGCTGTAAGCTCCTGAAACTTTTAGTCTCTGTAATATTTTTACCAGGTGTTTCTGACCCATTACATTTCGGTCTTACATTTTGAAACTCCTCTTGTGTTAAGGTCACCTGGTACAGTGGGCTGTCTCTTAACTGGCTCTCCCATTTAGCCACATTTTTCTTAGAATCCTTGATATCCTAACACAAAATAATTTTTCATAAACATGTCACACATATTACTCTGCACCATTTATGCAAGTTAAGTGAGAATCCACTGACTGGGTCATTAATCTTTGTTTTATTGTAGCTTGTACTCGTACCCTAAATTTTTGAAGTTAAGTTTTTCGGAATTTTGTGAAACTATCATATGTATTCAGATGTGTGTGTGTGATGGAGTGACACTTTGATGCATCCATATGTGGCACAGCATTTGACATTACAACTGGCTTTCAGGTATAGCCGGGAATGGCGATACCATACGGAGGAGAAGGTGTGGATTACCCAGGCTCCCGGTTTGGGCGCTGTTGAGAAAACTTCTACTTATGAGCGAGGAACGTACTATTTCTTTGATGCCCAGAATTGGCGCAAGGTGGCGAAAGAGTTCCATCTTGACTACAATAAGCTTGAAGGACGGCCACAGCTCCCATCCATCCTGCCTCCACAGCCTGTATGACTGCTGCAACCAGTGCCACTGCAATGAGGGACTGCTTCTATGGCATGTCTCTGTTCTCACCAAGGCTGAGTGACAACTGTGGTGTCAGAATCTTGTTTGTGCAATGACTTCTGACTGTATGTATGTGTGTTGGTAATGCTGTTTGTTGGCAGCTTGGAACAGTTGATTTGTGATGCTGCCTTCAAGACTTTTGTGACTTGGCACCACTGACACTCTTGTTGGAGGAAACGGAACTGTGTCCTGGATTCTGCCCCTATTTTGGACTGCCTCTATTATTATTTTTGATTGTTTAAGTTGGTGTTACTGGTTGGACTGAACTTGCTAGTCCTTCAAACTCATTCCTCGGCGAGCGGGTGGACTTATTTTACACTGAGGCTCGGAGAAGGGTTTTATTTTTAATGTTTCTCTTCTGATATTTTTTTGTACTTTTTTGTTTTAAGATCTGTATGTAGGAGAGCTGAGTTTGTTCTTCTGCCATTGTATAAAAGAAAAATCTTTAATTAAAAGCAAAAAGTTCAAGATTGATAAGCAGTGTTTGTAGTGCAGTTACATGCTTTTTTGTTTGTTTGTTTATTTGTTTGTTAAACCTGTGTCATATTAGGCTCAAATCTCCCTTGTATATTTCGATGGTTGCTGCATCATGTAGTCTTCAGGTTCGTTTGCTGATTTGGAGGAACATGTTGTTTTCATCTTCAGGCATGTTGATGGAGGTTGAGATGGTCTGTAAAATGTTGGGTATTGCTTCCATTCTCACAGAAGCTTAATTTCCCATGATAGCTAAAATGTCATATTACTGTACATTAAAAAAATCACCTTATGCTTTCCAGTCTCCTTTATCCCTAATGGGCTTTATTTCCAAGGTCCTTCTCCAAGATGTTTGCTGTGATGGAGCTGTCCCTCCCCCCCATTGTTGCTCCAGGGGCTTTGCACCACGACCCAACTCTCTCCTGCTTTTAACATCCCTGTGTTTCCACTGACCATGTAACATTAGTGCAAGAATTATGTGTATGATGTTGCAAGAAGAACATCTTTGGAATTTCATTGTACTCCAAAGAGTACAGATTTCCAATCTTATTTGTGTGAGTGAATGTTGTAGTTGTAAAGTCTCATTTTTAATATTGCAAGAATTTTTACTCACATTTGCTTTCTTTCAAATTTGTTTTTGTATAAGACTATTTTATTGACAAATATGAGTTACAAAATTACAAAATTCGGGGAGTTTGTGTGGTAGTGGCTGGCAGGAGCAGTGAATGTCAGCTTCAGACTTTATGCACCTTGACGGACTGGAAAGTGTTAACAAAAATTGCATATTTTTCCTCAGTTTAGGAGGCAAAAGCAATGAGATTGCCTGTGCTGCACATTAATACTGAAGTTGGCACAGCAGTGTTTAATACCCAATCACTTGACCCTGACTATCAGCCTGTGTTGCTAAGATTTTAGATTTAGATGTCAGGTTCTCATTGTGATGAGTATGAACACTGCTGTTTCCTAGGATGACGCACATTTTACTTTGATGATAGAGACAGTAGTGTCTGAAACATCAGTCAGTATCTACTAGACTAACTGGTCCAGCATTTCAGGAGAACATTTGTCAGTGTCTGATGTCTGAGAAAATACGGAAGTTTTTTCAAAATAATAAATGTGTTACAGGTAGTTAGTAGCTATTCAGTAGCTTAATTAATTCTTTGTATGCATTTTAATATTATCTTCCGACCCGTGCTTAAGATACCAAAGTGATTTCTTTCCCTTGAGCTTTTCTAATGAATGTTTTTTCTTCACCACATGTAGTCTTGACTTATGGTACAAACAGTGAAGTATGTAATTATGAACTCATAATTTCCCCAATTCTCTGTTGTTATATTAAAATTGATTGGGAGGGACCTTGACTTCAAAATTCCACTGTTACTTTATTTCTGTAATATAGAGATATTTTTGTTATAAGTAGTATCCTTACTAGAAGGTTTGATGAATACTAGGAAAACCTAAAGTCAGGATAGCCAGGATTTGAACCTGGTACATCCTGAATAAAAACCAGGAGTTTTAATAACAGCTCAGCCATGGCATTTGATTCTGTAATATGGTAATGAAAATACTTACTAGACAAAAGTTTATTTGATGATAATGTATTCCAATTTTTAAGTTATTGCTCTACATTAAAAAAAACATTAGCATTTTTGACCTGTCTCTTTATGTTCACAGTCTAATACATTCCAAAATGTTGTTGAATGACTACTGAGTTCTTTAATAAATTAATTATTGCATTTTCATGAATATGTGTGCATTAAACTAACTATATAATTTTTCCAAATTAAGATAATAAATATATAAGTACATGAAGAAATGATGGCAAGTGGAAGGTTAGATATAGTGTTAATTACTGTTTCTTATGTACTGTGAAAGTGATTAATCCAAAGAGTACATCTTTCTAGGCTTCTTTGTTCTATTGTGGTAAAATGAAGTGTGTGGTGATAGAAATAGCTGATGCTGGTTTTACCACAAAAGGGGACATGCTTAGCAGAAAATAATGACAAATTGTTTCAAATGTAAACATTCTGAGAATGGTTAAATTTGACTGTAAGTAAAACTACTGAAGCTACATGCATTCAGTTTTTGAGGAAAGGGTAATGTCTCGACAATATATTGTACAGATATATTATGTGTTTCCCATCATTGTGTGAGCCTAAATTTACTACCTTAGTATTTAATTTGTAAAAGAATGTGACTCAGTAATTCTATGAAAACTTTCTCTGCCCCTTTGGTAATTGGATTGTTGCCATTAACAAAACAGATAAAGTGATAAGTTCTGTTCTATTATAACAGTCAGTTATAATGCAGGTGACTCTTTCCTGTGATTTTTGCACCATGTAGTCTTATAGAATATGACAATTATTTCAGAGGTGCTTACTAGCAATCATAAAGGATCTTGACAAAGGAAGCAATAAGAACCTCAGAAACGTTCGTCAATCTTTACGATGTTCATAATTGCTACTGTAGGAACCTTAAATCTCACCTATTATCAACCTGTTATGTGGTTTGAATTGAAAAAGCTTGACCTCATAAGAGGCTAAAATGAAGAGTTAAAGCAAATAAGTCTGAACTGTTACATTATGCAAATGTCTGCCCCATTTTTCCGTACCGAACAAGTAAAATAAAATGCAATTAAGTAAATAACTTCATATCTGATAAAATATATTTATTATATATGAAAGGTTAAACGCGCAAAGAAAGGATGAAAGTAATTATATTTAAATTCGGAATTAAAGTCTGTCCTTAGCATAAGGGGATGTAGCTCAGTGGTAGAGCGTTCGCTTTGCATGTGAAAGGCCCCGGGTTCGATCCCCGGCATCTCCACTTTTTTTTTTTAGGTTTTACTGTATACGTTAATTCAATTTAATATCAACATTAATATTTTTATCATCCAGCGGTTCGTTCGTGATTTTCCGCATTTTTAGACCTCCACTAGGGAATTATTAAAATCACAATTATCCCTCGATTGGAAACCACCTTTTAGGACCGTACGGTTGCAGTAGTATGACCTCTAAAAGATGATGTATTTTTCAGTAAAATAGTCATTAGATGTATTAATATACAACATATTTTGTCCATTATAATCCTTCTGCTACGGGAAGTACAACAAATTCAAATCTCACGTACGCAGCCCGGCTAGCTCAGTCGGTAGAGCATGAGACTCTTAATCTCAGGGTCGTGGGTTCGAGCCCCACGTTGGGCGCAATTTTTTTTATGACCTGTACCTCAGAGACAATGGTAATCATAACAAAAATTAGTAATTGTAACAATTGTTTCTGTCTTGCAGATCATGTATTTTTTTCAAAAGATTTTATTTGAGTGACAATATTTTCTGTTAAACACTCTTACAAAACTTCATGGCCAATATCAGTACTTTTACCTCATTTACAAGAACAATTAAAAAGTAAGCTATGTAAAATTATTACAATATGTGTTAAGAAAGCAGGTGTGTAAGATGTATGGTTTCAATCTTTATATTCTTCCTTAATAAGGCTCAAGGCCCATTCATAAATTAATTTTATTGTAACTGCCATTTATTTTCAACTGTGCAAATTCTCATTTCAATAATATGTTTTTAAAATATTTTTGCCATTGCAGACTGTCAGTGAGGGGAATTCTCTGGTAGTTCTGTTTCTATTAATATTCCTCAATCATTTATTGCTACTGTATTATTATATTTATTTTGAAACATAATTGATTTACAAACCACATATTTATAGTTATATTTCCTTATTGTTTATTCATGATCCACATTCATTTTGTAAATGTCTTACATATTTAATTAGTTTACTTTCCTAGTGATGACAATATTAAACTTTCTCATGTTTTGTCCCTCAACTTAAATTGCTTATATTTTTATTTCATCACTTATCTTATCACATTATGTAAAAGTTGCTTGCAGAGTACCTAAAAAATATAGGTAAAAACTTCCTACAATAAGGGAATTGCCAGGAACAATGAAATGTGAATGTAAGAAAACGAATAACGTCACATTTGGGAGCGAAAATGTGTAGTATTTATACTATCTTTTATTATCAATAGCATACATAAATGTCAAAGGTATAAGTGGTAAAAGTTTTACATAATATAATATCATGCCTTTTATCACTGTACCAAAGTAGTCTGCTCATCAGCAGACCTCGTGGCGCAACGGTAGCGCGTCTGACTCCAGATCAGAAGGTTGCGTGTTCAAATCACGTCGGGGTCAAACTTTTTTTTTTTTTTTTATAAACTTTCGTGTCCATTAACCTCAGTTTATATCTAAACTCTTATAATAAAATGTTTTGCTCCACCAAAATTTGGGATGTAAAATGAACAAAGACCATATAGCATTCTATGAAGACATGTTTTATATATATGCACACAGGAGGAGATTGGCGTGGCAGTCGTGGCCGAGTGGTTAAGGCGTCTGACTAGAAATCAGATTCCCTCTGGGAGCGTAGGTTCGAATCCTACCGACTGCGAATATTTTCCTTTTGCATGGGTACTCCGGACTTTATTTTAATTTAATTATCACTGTTATTATTATTTTAATTTAATTATCACTGTTATTAATATAAAATTCTCACAGCAAAGTTTTTTTTCTACAGACCTCGACGGAGTTTGCTGTTACTACTACTACTACTATTACTGCTACTACTGATGATACTTCCGTTAGGGAAATTTTATACAAATTTTCCTTGTATATATCTAAACAAAAGATGAGCTACACCTTAGACAGCATACTGCTATGATTTTAACCTCTTAAAGGACTAGTGAGACTGAGGACTTTGTTTCAGACTGTAGCTCTTTCCGCTTGTTTTACAGCACAAAAGCAAAAGGCGTAGGATGAAGAATGCGCTAGAAAAACATCAGTTGTATTTTTAATGTCCTGTTTCCAAGGTAAATGACAATTTAACGATTCTTGCGATTATTATTTTAGAAACTTGAATGTATATCGGTAAATCCTGCGTCCTTGATGTCGGCGCCGTGGCTTAGTTGGTTAAAGCGCCTGTCTAGTAAACAGGAGATCGAGGGTTCGAATCCCTCCGGTGCCTGGTTCGTGCAAGCGTTCTTTTTAAAAATTGTTTAAATATCATGATAGCTATTGTTTTTAACAATTTTTTTGTTCTTTGTCGTTTTATTTATTTGTTGTTTAGAAAAGGTTATTAGTTTCAATATACGTATTAGTTCTTTTGGTACATATCGATAAGTGACATTTCTTTATAAAAATTAAGGTCGTAAATATTGCTAATTAATTGTTTTAATCATTATGGTGGATATTGCTTTCAGAATCGATACATTGGCACGACAAATCTACATTTGGTAACAACTTTGTAAAATGCGAGTTGGTTTTGGATGTGTATGTGGATGGTCATGAGTTGTGTTGGTGTGGTTGTAACTCCGCGTTACCCTGTTGGTTGTTCCAGGGGGCATGTCCATCTCCTACCTCGATAATAGACCATATATGTTCCCTGCCTACTGCAAAATGAGATTTGAGGTTGTGAAGACACCTTGGTCTCTCAACCGAGAATCATCCATACGATTATTAATTTTGACGGCAAACTGTAAGTGGACTCGTCACTGTAGAAAAGTTTCTAGATACTCTTTCCTAATGCTGATTATTATTTACATATGGACGTTTGATGACAACATAATTACAGATAAACAACATGAATGTCTATCCAGGTTGCAGCGTTAGGTATACACCGAAGTTTCGGAGGACATACTGCCAATATGTTTAGTCCTGAAGATATATGAAATATGTTCGTCAGAAACGTTGGTACGAAGCAGCAAGTTCATACGGTCCTACAACACATCTTGATAACAACAAATATCTAAAATCATAAGTATGGACAGACTGGCACTTTGCTGCAATAACAATTTAACTAACTAACTAACCAAATGTCACACAGTTCTTCTTGAGAAGGTGATAGACACTTAGGTTGTAAAGTATTTTCATCGTTCTGAAGGTTGATTGCTGAGGCCACAAGAGTTTCTTTACCATTAATATCTATAGTCCATATACATCTAATGACAGGTAATGAATTTTGAAATTTCAGTGATCAAGAATATTTTTGTAGAGACTTTTTTTATGTTTTATGTATTTTCAAGTGAATGTACTGCAATTCTGTATGAGATTTTTGACAGTGTTTTAGAATCATTAGAAAATTTTGTTTAAACACTGACCATTGTCAGAATACCATTTGTGTACATGAAACAATATGTACATACATATGTGGAAATATTGCACAAACCAACTATCTAATAAACTAACAAACTAGCTAACCAATTAACTAACTCCGTGAAACAATGCCCTTATGGTCAGCTAGTCAAGAAATAAACCATCTGTTATGGTACCCAAAATACTCATTATTATGTTCACATTTTGCTACTAGTCCCTGCCCCAAGCCAGGTGACTGAAATTTATACCCTCACACACTTTCCTGTACTATCCATATTGATATTGTTTGTTCTTCTATATCCAGGTTTTTGAAACCATGTAACTGTCGCATGTGTTCATACTTTTTCATCTTTGAAATACTTTGATGAATTTTCTAAACTGGCTAGTTTAAAGGCTGTGAATCAGTGATAGGTTGAAGAAGAATTTGTATAATATTATATGACAGGTGCAGTGAACCTATACCTGTTTTAATTATTTCAATACAACAATTTGTGGTATTGTATGAAAGAATTACAATATATTAAAACATTTCTCTTCATTGCAGTTGACACTGCAGTCTTTCAGGAGAGTACTAATTTTTTGATAAAAATACAGTGTCTGTCTTTACCACTACTTAGAATATGTTGTACCTCTAAAATTATGTAACCTCCTGCATTGCAGCCCAAGTCTTCGATGAAAAATACATTTTGTTTCGTGTTTGGCAAGACTATTGTAATTAATTTTGTGTGTCCTTACGATAGAACTAAAATGTCACTCCAAGCTGCAATAATCTTCAGAAAAAAAAAGTTTGCATCGGCCGGGAATCGAACCCGGGCCGCCCGCGTGGCAGGCGAGCATTCTACCACTGAACCACCGATGCTTGTGGTATTTAAACGAATATAGAAAGTCAACAATCGTAAGTATAAAGAAGATATTTGATTATTATGTATATATGAAAAAATGTGTTTAGAAATGGGCGAATAAATCAACAATTTCATAATTAAATTATATAGTAAATATAGTATTCCTGGGATGTGTAAAGGTATTTGAACTACTGAGAATTCGAGGTGTTTGGATGTGTGACGAGGTGGCCGAGTGGTTAAGGCGTTGGACTGCTAATCCAATGTGCTCTGCACGCGTGGGTTCGAATCCCATCCTCGTCGTAAAAATTTTACATTTGTGTTCTATTTATATATTTTTATTTTTCACTTATTCGGTATATTTTTATTTATCACTTATTCCGTGGCAAACGTTTTGTACGTCGAACTGAGAAAGTGCTCCATTTTTCTTCATTATGCCTGTGTGCCTTCATTAATTTTGGCAATAATGGGGGGACCTCTAGCTATAGATCTGTATGCTGGTATTTTAAAACAGCACGAGAATGGATCTGGCTCTGAATAAATTTGGCCCTTGAAGATTTTATGGAAAAGTATAGGAACATTTAAATATTTATTTATGCCGAACAATATTAAATATCGACACACAAGACAACATAAATATCTGTTTATTTTGTTATATTGAGAAGTATTCGGTTATACAGCATATATTTTTACCTTCTTTACCGTAGAAAACCGATTATGGAATAAAAATTATAGTTGTCTGGACCATTAATTGTTAAGATAAATCGATGCACTAGCTGTTTTGTAAAACATACTCTGAGCTGAATTATATAGCCTCCGTGGCGCAATCGGCTAGCGCGTTCGGCTGTTAACCGAAAGGTTGGTGGTTCGAGCCCACCCGGGGGCGAACTTTTTTTTTTGTGTCATTATTTTTCTTTTTATTAATTGACCTCGCAGTAGTATGTTACTAGTGCTGTCAATTGAATGAGTCATTGATCAGAGTAAGTGAATGCGGCGCAATTCGTTGTTGCTCATTCTGTTAAATTTCTGTGACCACGATGAAAATCTCATATTCCATTCATAAAAAAGTTTAAAAATTAAATTCTATTCATCGGTTTCTGGAATCACCTGTGTCATATCCTATTGGGTTAAACATGAGCTGATTACCATGTCATGTCGGTCAATTGCGTCTTCTGTATTTTGTCATGACACTGATATATTAATGACTAAAATTGTTTTCAACATTTGACATTCGTATGTCAGAATTTGTACTTCATCGCTACTTTATCCTTTAGTAAAGTAAAAAAAAAAATAGGTAAATAAATTGCAGGTCCCACCGAGATTTGAACTCGGATCGCTGGATTCAGAGTCCAGAGTGCTAACCATTACACCATGGGACCACAGATAAATTACGAAATTTTTCTGTAGAATATTGATTTAGGTGATGGTATTACTTATCGCTTTTAAAATGGGTGTATATAATCCAAGGTTTAATAGGGGGGATTAAATGCCCGTTGTTTATAGTGTATAAGTCACAATATTAACACTTTTTGGAATTTGTGAATAGAATGGAACAAGATTACTTACATGTCATAGTTCCTTCTTTGGCCAAAATGAAAGAGATAAAGTATCTAAGCAGAAATGCTATAATTGATACTAATACAAATATAAATTAGATAATTATTATAGTAATTTAGAATCAGCTGAAGTTTTACAGAAAAAATTTTTACTTGAGAATGGTATGTGTGTATATGTATATCTTATGATAAGATTTGGAAAACATTAATTTGTTCTTACAATAGTGGGCTGTAACATGTTCAACAATTTAATGTCTGAGGATGGTACCCTTGGTCACAGACAGCATTCGTAGGTGTTAACCGTCGTTAAGTTTTGGTCTGAAATATGGTATAGACCTACAAAATGGCGGGGTCGATTGAGATTCCTCTGCGAGATACAGACGAGGTATGTAATTAAGGTTACGTATGTTGATTTACTGTATAATTTCTAAATTCACTATCAATGTGTTACGATTATCAGTTTTAAGTGTTGGCCGCTTTTCGCAAATTAATATATTTGGACCTAACCTAATACCATGTGTATGTCAACTATTTGTATTTTTCTTACCAAATATTTTTGTGTAATTAGATTACAGTGTTCTTGGAAAGAATTAGAATTTATAGGTATTTTATAAACGTTTAATGAGATTAAGCTAAGGTTTTGGATTTCATTCCTTCATACAAATGCAAATTTCAGATTTAGTAGCAACATGTTGAACAGTTTGGGGTATGGTAATAGACTTAGCTGCCAAAGTTATTTAATCTTTGCGGCCTTCAATGAAGTGTAGTGTCTACATGGAATGGCCATTAAATGCTGGATGCCTCTTGACTGTACTTGACACAATTGTAATTTATTTTTACCACAAAACCATAAAGTTCTTGTTCTCTTAAAGCAGTGCATATAGTCATCCTAGCCATGTGACAAATTGCCACTTTCTCTAACCAATGTCTTAATTTTTAGTGAACATGCTTGTATCGTAACCACTTTAATGTATATATAAATTTAGTTAATTGGAAACTTCTGCCACCATTGAGTCTGTATGTCCAAACTGTGATGTTATTATTAATATTGACTAATTTCCATTTTCTTTATTTTGAGTGTGAAAGCTTGCTTTTATTTAATGTTGACTGGCATATTCTGCTACTGATATGACACTGTAAAAAGTTTTTTGTACATGACGTGTGAATTGTGGAGTGAATGGAAGGAGCCTGTACTTTTAAACAAACATTTTTGGGATGAGTAAATAAAGAAGGATTAGATGGGCAGGAGTTGTAGTAACATGTATGTGTGGGGGTGAAAGGTGTAAGTCGAAGGACAGAGACAGGTTGTGAATGAATTGATGAGAATCAAGTGGCCGTCTATAAGGTATAATAACAAACTCCTTTAAACTATGTAATGACAATTGATTATGTGAAAACAGTGAATTTCTTGATCAGCTGAGTTACACTCAGCAAATTAAGTATTTACTTCAGAATGCTTGATGTGCTGCATGTGATTTGTGGTTAATAATTTTCCCACTGAAAAGTCGTATGTTTGTGTGTTTACTTGTTATGTGAATGCAGTTAATTTTATGACTGTCAGACTGGGTCTATATTAACATTAGGTACAAACTGTTTTTGCAGGTGATAGAATTAGACTTTGATCAACTTCCAGAAGGTGTAGAGGTACTTAGTATTCTTCGCCATGAGAATGCACAGTTACATATTTGGGTCAGCCTGGCTGTAAGTATTATGAACTGCATTGTGTACTTGTTGATAAGACTACCTTAAATTTTATTTTTTTAATGAACAGTTTTTCTTTGGAAGATATGTTGAAGCACTTGCCAGTGGCTGCTGGAAATGTGCTAAATTATTTGGAAGGAATCTTATTGTCATAGTTGTCTTCTTATGACTTCTGTTGAATCTGTTGTTGATCATAATTAAAGGTATGTATATTCTTTCTTAATTTCTCAGCTTGAGTATTACAAGCAAGGGAAGATCGAGGACTTCATCCGGATACTGGAAGCATCTCGACTGGATGCGAATGTGGATTATCGTGACTATGAGAAAGATCAGATGCGTGCTCTGGACATGTTGGCAGCATACTATGTGCAACAAGCAAACCACGAGAAGAACAAGGACAAGAAGCGGGAGCTGTTCACGAAAGCCACGCTGCTATATACAACTGCAGACAAGATTATTATGTACGACCAGGTAAGACAGACCATCTTATGGATATTAAGAAATTAATACTGTGGGCCATCAGTATCAGTAGACTTCAAAATTTGTCTTTTATTATAAGCGTCGTGCATTATTGAACACCACTACTTCCATATTCACGATTGGTTTCTGTATGCATTGTTAGTTCTTGTAGTAGTTGTCCTATTGCCACCTGTCTCATGTCAGTTCCAGTCAGTATGCCAGGAATGTTTCTAATGAGGTTCTCAAACCAGTTCATTGCACATTTCTTGTCTTATTTACTTTATTACTGTATTGAGTACATTGTCCATGTGTGCAAAGTCAAAGGAGAATGCTCAGAAGCCAGGAATTGTTCCACTTCGGAAATGAAATTTGTAATTATTGGCTGATTTTGAAGCTTGTAAATGAACAGATGGTGTTAGGCCTGAAGAAGTTATGTTATTCTTTCGTTACATTACTGTTTCCATTGCCATTAGTATAATTTTTGTTTGATATGGACTTGTTTGTATACTTCTGTATTATACTGAAGTGTCCACAGGGGTATGTCTAGAGAGGACTGTACTGATCTTTAATTATTCTTTGCAGAATCACTTGCTGGGACGCGCTTATTTCTGTCTGCTAGAGGGAGACAAGATGGAGCAGGCTGATGCGCAGTTCAACTTTGTTCTTAACCAGTCTCCAAATAACATCCCGTCTCTTCTTGGCAAGGCGTGCATCGCATTTAACAAGAAAGATTTCCGTGGTGCCTTGGCCTTTTACAAGAAGGCACTTCGAACCAACCCCAGTTGTCCTGCAGCTGTTCGCTTGGGCATGGGGCACTGTTTTATGAAACTCGGGAATCAGGATAAAGCTCGGTATGTTAATGTATTGGAACCAAAGGTTTTAAAAATTTTAATTGGGAACCTTCTGTTGAGGTGTTTCTATGAGAAATTTATTTCAGTTCTATCCATGCCATTTGATTCTTGGTCTTCGAAATCATTGCTTTCCAAGTGGTTTGTCTAGTAGAGTTCTGCTTGTGTTTCTCATTTTTGATACCTTCATTCCAACAATTCTTGGAGAAGAGTGCAAGGTGTCAAGTTCTTCTTAATGTAATTTTCTTCTTCCTTGAGATTATCTCTCTTATGTCTCGATATTTAACTCAGAATTTTGATTTCAAATTCTCACCATTTGTGGTTGAACTTCACAGTAAAGATCACGCAGAACTGCAATTAAAGTAACTGTCTTGTTTCTGTCTTCAGATTTTGTGTTTTTTTGGGGGGGAGACATGTTAATAACATTTTAAAACAGTAGTAATGAGGTTTTCTTTTATGTTCTTCTTTTAATGTAACTGAATCTTGCTTTTACTTGTTTTTGTTATTGAGGTTCTGATACAGCTATAAGTTATGTATTTATGTTTATAATTCTGGTGTGACAGGTAGAAAAAATTTAGAAATTTTGCCTTGCAGGATTGTGTTTACTGAATAGGGGAGGTGGTTGACTTTTTTTGGTATACTTAATAGAAGCAAATGAAATATTACTAGCAGGTATCATAACATAATACATCTGTTTCAGATTGGCGTTTGAACGCGCTTTGCAGCTGGATGCACAGTGTGTCGGAGCTCTGGTTGGCCTTGCAATTCTGAAGCTGAACCAGCAGCAACCAGAGTCCATCCGGACTGGCGTTCAGATGTTGTCAAAGGCTTACACCATTGATTCAACGAACCCGATGGTGCTGAATCACCTGGCAAACCACTTCTTCTTCAAGAAGGTACGTCTTCTGAATCATTGCCTAATGTTTGTCAGTTTTCATTTAAGTGAATTGAAGCTGTAACTGTGTGCTATTGTGCACAGCAAAATATGTACTTGTGTCTTAGTTTATTTGCACTTTGTCAGCAATTATGTTGACTGGATGATGAACTGGAAAGGATCTGGAAGGAAAAAGTTATGGCTAGTTTTAAGGTAATCTTCCATAAAATCCTCCAGATAGTTTTGTTTAAGCTGAGAATCACCAGGTGTATATAGTCTGAGCTTCAGACAGTATCACAAAATTAACAGCAAATAAATATAAAGCAAATGCTCATTTATTGAGGTGGTTGTGTTTGGTTCATTGTTTGTTGGTGACTGCTTACACATTAAACAAATGGAGACTACAATTTAAAGACTAAACTTTGAATATCTTTACTCAAATACTAGTAGTGACTTTTTGTCCAGCTGCCATGTCTCAATCTCAATGTCAGCTTCTGTTGATTCATGTGGCATCATGTGTTGCTATTTCCAGGCGTGAAACAACTGTAGGTTGACGTAACAGAAGTTGACATCGTGGTCAGCCACATTTGGCTGTAGACGGTGCAGCCAGCAGACAGGAGAGAATTAACATCTGAGAATGGTTACAGTTTTTTACCTTTTATGATTGATATTACATTCGTGTTGTGTGCGTTTGTTGAAGGATTACCACAAAGTACAACATCTTGCACTGCACGCATTCCACAACACAGAGAATGAAGCAATGCGGGCTGAGAGCTGCTATCAACTTGCCAGAGCCTTTCATGTCCAGGTAAAACTTTTCAGAACCAATTTCTAATTGTTGTGTTTCACTGTCTTACATGCAACAGATTACTGAGAGATTTGTGATGCTTGATCGCTGGGACCGTGGGTTCGAATCCCACCCAAGCCATGGATGTTTGTCCTCGTTTTTCTGTGTTGTGTTGTCCTGTGTACAGGTAGAGGCCTTGCGACGGGCTGATCCCTCGTCCAAGGAGTCCTACCGAATGTCTATAGATCAAGCCAATGTAAAGTTGAGACCCGCAGTGCTCAGGCACTTGAAGAATGGGTCGTTCGCAATATCCCCAGTGCAGTGAAGAGTTGGGAGGCTGTGTTGATGTATGTATGTGACACGTGGGTCGTGCATGCATGCATGTATGTGTGGGTGCATGGATGGACAGAAAATTAGATAGGCAGTGGGGAGTGAAACATGGGTGGTTACATGAGAAATTATGTCAGTAGTGTGTGGGTTAAGAACTGCTGTTCCATGTGTTTTAGGGTGACTATGACCAGGCATTCCAATACTACTACCAGGCCACACAGTTTGCTCCTGCTGTGTTTGTGCTACCGCACTTTGGTCTTGGTCAGATGTACATCTACCGAGAAGACACTGAGAATGTGAGTGTACAGTAACGCTTTGCTGTGCCAGTGAGGTGTTTTCCCACAATTTGGCCAGTGTTAAGAGGCCGGTTTTATGTTGCATTTGTTTAATCTACGTAATACTTGGTGTTTCTTACGTAATACTTAATTTACACACTCCTTTTACTCTGTCGATGAATTTCTAATGTTTACAAGTAAGTTGTAATTTATCTATTGTATATAATGGGTGGATTTATTTGTAACTTATCTCTACTTCATGTGAACCCTTTGTTTGTATTTTTGTGACATTTATATAATAGTATGACTTGTATTTGTATAACATGTATTGTATTATTTTGACTTATTCTACATTCTATTGTCATCTTACTAACTTATGGATCCATGGAATGTAATAAAAAAGTGTGTGTATAGAGGTCTTTATTACTGGTGCTTTTTGATTAGAAGAAAGAAAGAAAGCAGGCTGAAATTCTTTTGTAGTCTATAGCTCTAGGCTAGGCGGTTGGGATGCTAAAATGGGTTAATGAAAAATAACGATTTAATATTTTCATGGTTCAATTTCTGTAAAGTTGATTGGTTTTCTAACTGAGGACATTGTTGTTTCTGTTAATTCTGTTTTCAGAATGTACACATTTGTAGTAGTATGGTACCTGTGTACTGGTACCATCTTTTTAGGAAGAAAGTACTGGCTCTAATGTAAGGCATGTGGGGCAGTGGAGGTATGTGTCCACACAGTTTTAACCTTGGCTCTTAATGGATTTGACTGGTTAACTTTGTGTTTCTGCTTGTTTACTTTGTAAGAGCCATTGGTATCTATTGATAAGGGGCTGGCTTGGACATATTGTTGGTGAATAAATAAATCCATATCCTGTTGGAATCAAACTCTGGTCTTCTAGCCCATGGCCTGGTTGTTACTATAATTACAAGTGAATAGTAAAGTTGCTGATTTGACATTCACTTATTTTGACATGTTACAGGCTGCGCAGTGCTTTGAGAAAGTGTTAAAGGCTCAACCCGGCAATTATGAAACAATGAAGATTCTGGGCTCATTGTATGCCAATTCTAGCAGCCAGTCAAAGCGTGACATTGCCAAGAGCCATCTGCGGAAGGTGACGGAACAGTTCCCCGATGATGTTGAGGCATGGATTGAGCTGGCACAAATACTGGAGCAGTCTGACCTCCAGGGAGCACTCGCTGCTTATGCTACTGCCACTCGGATCTTGCGGGACAAAGTGCAGGCCGACATCCCTCCAGAGATCTTCAATAATGTGGGAGCTCTTCACTACAGGTGTGTTATGTTCCTTCTCAGAATTTTCGTTCTTGATTTAATTGTGATGTAGTTGTAAGTTTCGTCCAATTAAGGCTTTTCTCAGTTTGGTGTTCATATCTATTCTCCTACAGATAAACATTAAGTACAAATTTCACTTTATATGTAAATTGTGAAATGTGCCAAACCAGTCAGCTCTTTGTCACAACTTTAGTCCTCATGGCATCATCACCCCTCACCCTGTATCATAACACAGTAAATTGTCATTAATTTTTGTCTATATGCCTGTTCCTAAAGCTCTCTTTTACTCAGATATTTCTTCATTTGCACTTAAAGGTTAGGTAACTTGGAGGAAGCAAAGAAGAACTTAGAAGACTCATTGAGTCGCTCGAAAGTGGAAGCAGAACAAGATCCACAGTATTACAACTCAATAACTGTGACGACAACGTACAACCTGGCCCGTCTCAATGAGTCCCTCTGTCAGTTCGATCGTGCAGAGAAGTTGTACAAGGACATTTTGAAGGAGCATCCCAATTATGTTGATTGTACGTATAAGCCGTGATCTCGCCATTATTATGCATTACAAACAGTAGATAAATTTATAGTGTTTTATGACAGTATTAAGAGAGTAAAATGAGTGTGTAGGTAAGTTTATTTTAATGCTGCTTTAAATTATGAATTTTTGTTTATAATATGAGGAATTTCCGAATTTATACACTTTTACTTTTGCAGTACTAAGAGCCTTTGTACTTGGTCATTCATAATCACCCTCCCAGTTCACATTACATAGCCTGTGTAGTTGAGAAAGTATTATTAAATAAAGTAAGAAAAACAGTTCCTTATAATGATGGTGGTCGCTAATGTGTGAATGAAATTATGTTTTTTGAATTGGTGTTAATATGGTGGTGTGACTGGTGACAGTAATTTGTGTATGGAGCATGAAGTTTGATGTTCTGCTTTGCAGGTTACTTACGGCTGGGGTGCATGGCACGAGACAAAGGGCAGATCTATGAGGCATCTGATTGGTTCAAGGAAGCTCTGAGAATCAACAATGAACATCCTGATGCATGGTCACTGCTTGGAAACCTCCACTTGGCTAAAATGGAGTGGGGCCCGGGACAGAAGAAGTTTGAACGAGTGCTGAAGGTGAGGTTTGCTTTTGTGTGTCGGGGTGTATGTAGTTGGTTGGTGTGGTAGCTCACAGAAAAATTACTTAATGGAAATGTGCGTGTAAGTTTGTTCTTGCTTGCTTTGTAGAGAATTGGACTAAGAGGTGAAGTCCTCATATAATGTTTTTTAATCGAGACTTTTCCCTCATTTTAGTTTAAATTATACTGATCCATATAATAACATATTCTTCAGTTGATGTTGAAGTAAAATTTGTTCCAGAAAAATTTTATATGTGGATTTCATTGCATAGGGTGTTCAGAAAGTCCTGTAACCACCAGATAAATGAAATGTGGTGGCACCAAAAGCAGCAACTTATTTCATTTCCTCAGTTATGTGGTGGCATATTGGTCCAATCTGTCTTTGATAAAGTCCCATAATGCGTAATCATATTATAGCTTTGCATTTTGAAGCAGACATTAAACAGGGGCTAGTGTAATTTGCCAGCCACGGGCAGTCTGGCTCTTGTATGTGTTGAACCCAGTAAAACTTGTCTTCCACTTGCATTAATTGACATAACAATTCATCTTTCTGTTGATGAGCTATACAGAGGGAAGGAGAATTGTGTTTTTAAGATAGAATAAACCACACTTTTTTCAGCATTATTAATAATTTTTTTCATGTTTCCTTGTTTGTACAGAATCCAACCACATCAACTGATGCATACTCACTGATTGCTCTGGGCAATGTGTGGCTACAGACACTTCATCAGCCCACCCGAGACAAGGAGCGTGAGAAACGCCATCAGGATCGTGCACTTGCTATGTATAAGCAGGTACTCCGTAATGACCCTCGTAACATCTGGGCTGCCAATGGTATAGGTACGAATTTATGACTAAAGCCATTAGGAATGGTTTCTGGTTATGTGTTAACTTAATGAGCAGTTGAACAGTGACTGACTTGAATGTTGTTTGACCTTGGGGCCAAATTTCTTTCTACCAATTAGATGGAACTAACTGTACAGGACATAATTTTATATAAGGATAATGCAGGTTCAGTTGTGGGATTTGTCACCAACAGTGTGACGAGGTTTCTTCATAGTACTTTGGTTTTTACGTATGGCTGTTCCGTACATGTCTGTCATCACCCCTGAAGTTTGGGATGGGCCCAGCTGGCTGGCATGGTCATAAGTTTGTTTGGTCCTCATTTATCTCTTGATTCAGCCGAGCCCAGGTTGACGCTTATTTCACTTTTTATTGTCTTCCATAAGTTTACACGAAGGAAAACTATGGATCAGGAAACGTTAAATGGGGTTATCACTACATGCAATAATATCTCCTGGAGAATGTGTGAATGTCTGAATAATTCAGTCACTTTCTCAAAGGTTACATTTGTGAAGAATGGTATCAAGAGGAAGAGGTGTACTGGAAGTTTAGTAATTTTCATTGGGCACTGTTTTCTTTCTATGCATTGTACCATTGAATGAGATGGAAAGGTGTTTTGTTAGTTGAGCAAATATGTTTTTTTTATTACTTACTCTCATTTACTTCAAGTGGTGGGACTGAGAAAAGCCATGAAAACTTGAGGCATAGGAGCCGATAGCCTCGCTCAGATTGTGAATGGGTGTCTCTCACATACAAGTTTAGTGTCGTTGTTACAAAAATGTGGTCTCCCTTCCTGTAGGATGCCTTATAACACATGCACTAGTTCATGTGTCTTTAGTGTGTGACTAAAGTGTTAGTTTCCACTCAGGTGCTGTGTTGGCACACAAGGGCTGCGTGAATGAGGCACGGGACATATTTGCTCAAGTCCGTGAAGCCACAGCGGAGTTCTGTGATGTGTGGCTTAACATCGCGCACATCTATGTGGAGCAGAAGCAGTACGTCAGTGCCATCCAGATGGTGAGTCATCATTTATGACATGACCGTAGAATAAAACAATGAATATCATTATGGTCAAATTGTAGGTACTGCTACTCCTTCGTGTGGTCTCTGGTTCAGGTCTGGTGGATGGAGACTGGCCATTTTTACTGAAGTTGTTATGGTTTTCTTCAGTCACTCCAGTAAAATGCTAGTATAGTACCTGAAATTAGGCCATGACCACCCACATCATTTCTAGTACATTACTTTTTAATAATCCTTTTGTTTATAGTCTAAACTGCTGACAGAACTAAAAATTAACCGTAACTACAAGCTAGAGTAAGATTGGTTCTAGCAGAAATATCCAGTTTAACACTTTCGGGTCCTTGGTTGGACTCAGAGTGACATTGGGGAAGTTGTGTTACAGTCCACATTGACACTAAGTTTGCCATATTTAAGTCTCCCATCAAGCAAATAATGGAGCAGTTCCATAAAATTGCTTATGAAGTTTTCTCCCATACCATTACCAATTCACTGTTTGTACTCATCTCACTTAGGTTGGTAGCAGTATTACAGAAAATGATGAGAAGTGATTTTGAAGTATTGTTTTGTAGTATGAGAACTGCCTACGGAAGTTCTACAGGCACCATCATGTTGAAGTGCTTCAGTACTTAGCACGAGCTTACTTCAAGGCTGGAAAGCTGAAGGAAGCCAAGATGACACTTCTGAAGGTTAGTTGACTACACTGAAATTTTTTTGAACATCAGAATAATGTCAACTGCTCACAGAATATCCTGCACATGGAGTTGTCATGACCTGGAACAGATATACTCTGTGTGTGAACAAAAGAAATCTAGATAGCTGTCATCTGGGCTGTAGCACTGTGTAGGCTGGTAGAATTTTTTACTGACAGCTACCTCTGAAATGGTTGTAAACTTATACCAGACTACATGGCATTACAACCAAGATGACAGCCATTGTCATACTCACCGCTGCTAGAACCTCGGATTCTACAATAGAAATCTAAACATTTAACAAGAATTGTGGCTTTCATTTTCTCATGGTGATTTTCAGGCTCGGCGAGTGGCACCACAGGACACAGTGCTTCTGTACAACATTGCTCTGGTGCTTCAACGTCTTGCGACACAGATCTTAAAGGATGAGAAGTCAACTCTTGAAACTGTATTGCAGGCTGTTCATGAGCTTGGACTTTCCCACAAGTGAGCATTGTTTCATTTCATTTGTTTATTATATATTATGTTCTGAGAAAATTAAATGCATTGTTACAGCTATGTTTTATACTACTTTATCTACTGTCTTCATATTTTTAGGTCAGGTATGTGATGCAGTGAACTTTGAAAAGAAAAAAGGACTTCATATTTCTGACTTGTATTCACGAGGTAAATTATTAAAATTTTGGCTGGAAATCATGTGTTCTTACTAAGATATTTTCCTTGGTTCTTCCAGGAAAACATTGGGACACTATGGTAAAATTTCTGTTTGTCTGAGGTGTAATCAGGGAACTGAGGTAATGTGTAATTGGAGATCATTTAATACTGGGATAATGTTGGAACCATAGGTGTTGCACATTAAATAGGACCTGCTGTGCCATAAAATAGGCTACATTCGCTTTCTTTCATTGTTCTCTGAATCCATAATTCATAATAGCCCGCCATACCTGAGTCATTATTTTATGTTGGAAGCATTTGATACACTGTTTTTCTCATCATTGTAGATACTTCAACTACCTGTCTGTCCACGGGGACCGCATGCGTTACGATGTCACATTAGCAGGCTTGGAGGCCCGTCAGTGTCAGGATCTTCTGTCACAGGCCCAGTACCATGTGGCACGTGCCCGTCGTGTGGATGAAGAAGAGAGGCAGTTACGACGCAAGCAAGAGGAGGAACGAGAGGCGTTCAGACTGAAGCAAATGGAAGAACAGGTACTGTCCACAGATCATGAGAAAAACCCTGCTGAGGGAAGTCGTTTCTGGTGCGGTGCGGGGGTAGATTAAATCACTGTGCCGCTGTGAGGTAATCTTAAAGCTGTACCCATTAGAACACATGAAAGCCTGTCGTCTGTTGTTCGTTCAGTGGTTGTGGAATGAATGCTTTTAGGATCGGTCGTCACTCACCGCGAAATCTTGCGCATGCGCGTATATCGAATTCCTAGCAAGGATTTTCTCCTGATCTGTGGACAGTACAAATGTCTGTGCTTCTGCAGTTTTTAGATTTTGTTTGGAATGTAAAGCAGTGATTACAGAAGAGGTACATAGATATTGTTCCTGCATCTTCTTACATCTTTGTTTCTGTCTGAGCAGAAGAAACTGGAGGAGAAGAAGAGGTTAGAGATTGAGGAATTACTGAAGAAGCGGCAGGAGTACCGTGAGAAAACAAAGAATGCCCTTTTGTTTGGTGACATGCCCAGTGAGAAGCCCACTAAAAAGGGGGCTGGTCGGAAACGTGCCGAGTACATTTCTGACTCGGGTGGAAGTGATGGTGGCGGAGGAGGAAGTGGTACCGAGAAACCTCGTGAGAAAACAAGGAAAAGACGACGCAGGTAATGCGGCTCTAGTAGCTGATGAAGTAGTGAGTGCTTCACAGCATTAATACCCGTGTCCTACATGCATCTTTCATTTGTCCTTTTTTCGTAAGTTGTCATTTTTTTTTATTATGTTGTCTAAGCAAGGACTGTGGTCAATGGGCTAGCACTCATATTTGTGTTCAGGACATATTTGATTTTGTTTTTTCCTGGACGCTGGTTATACTGACTGACTCTTTATTGCTTTTCTCCAGTCACTTCAGGTTATTGTCATTTAATTTCATATTTTTTTCTAATTTTTAAGTTCCTCCATGATCTTTTACTCTGAACAAGGAACATAAATTACAGGCACTTGAAATTAAGTATTGAGGAAAGTACTTGTTATCATTGTTTTCAATGGCTTGTCTTTTCTTTCCAAATAAATTCAAATTTTTTCTTGTTCTGTATTTTTATTATATTTATTGAGGAAAATATTTGGATCTCATACATAGGAAGTAGATAATGTAATAAAAGAATGAACTTTGTGTTAATATTGATTTATGGAGGTGGCCTCTAAATAAATATGGGTTTCATGTGGTGAAAATTAAATGCATACAGAATTTTGATGTGATGCCAGCCTCATGGAAGACAGAGTGAGGTGTGATAATAATATTAAATTGATAGGAGAGAATTAGTTCTGTGAGGATGGGAAGTGGTTTGGTGTATCACAGGACACTCTGGTCCAGATGTAGGCTATTTATGCTGTGGTTAGTGACTATTGAAGATATGGGCATGTTGCATCACAGTACTTCTGTGCTGAGGCATTTATAAACATGTGGGTAGTTATTATTTCATTGTTTCCAGTGTTGATGGTGAGAAGAGACGCAAGGTTCGTGCTGGAGGCAGTGGTACTCGGAAGAGACGAGAAAAACAGAGAGCAGGGCGAGATTCTGACTCTGGAGAGGAGAGACCCAAGACTAAACGTGGGCGCAAGGCACAGAGGGTAATAATGAACGTATTCCAGTAGCTGTGTAGCTAATGTGGACAGTTTTGTCAGAATTAGGAATCAGCTGAGGTTGTAATGTAGTGAATCCATTCTTGCTTTATTTTGTTTTAATATTTTCTATCCCCCTTTTTCTCCCTCATTTTTCCAGAGTGCATTAAACTGAACACATACTAGGAAGGTAATTCCTATCTTTCCAAATTGAGCTTCTGTGATGGAATGAGAACAATTCTTATGGTCTTAGTGAGAATGAAGGGTTTGGAGTTTGAGCCATTGGCCTTCCTCTTGTGAGTTTGATGGAGGTCAGGGAGAATGATACACAAGTGTCTCTACGTCATTGGTCACTTGTCACTATTCTCCCAACATGAACATGTGCTTTCTGATGACTGTAATGTATTGAGATTTGAATTACAGACAGATACGGAGCATACATTGCATGAGGGAGGAAGTGCAGTATGTAGGCAGATACAAGACTGGCTACTTAAAGATTAATTGCGAAGGTCTGGTGAAAAGTGATGTGGAAGGAAATTATTTTACTGTAATTTTATTGGAGTATAAGAAAATATGCATTTTATATGAGAATGTACAGTACACAGCTGTGTGTATGGAATGGTTTGTGTTTTGTGGCAGGAGACAAATGAAAATTTCTGTGTTTGGGAAGTTAATGTTTATGCAATGCTTAGCTTTCTCTTGTGGTAAACTACTCAATTTGTCTGTTTGCAGGAGCCCCGTGGTCGAGGTAGAAGGGGCAAGCAGGCCAGCTCAGATGATGGGCTGTCGGCCCGCCAGAAGAGCCGAATTGTTTCAAAGGCAACCATATCAACAAGCGAGTCTGACAGTGATAGTAATCAGCTCAAGATTGCTAGTGGGTGAGTAGTGAGTGGTCTTGAGTCAAGACACTGGATTCTTCTTTAGAAGCTCTGAACTTGTACTCTTCACCAAATATTATTGGGATGAACAAATCAAGGAAGACTAGGAAGGAGGAAGGTGGGGTACGCAGCATTCTTAAGAAAGACAAAAAATGCCTACTAAATGTTGGTTGAAGTTGTGAAAGGAAAAGACCATTGGGAAGATTTATGGGTGGATAATATTACAATAGATTTTAGATACACAGGGTAGGAATTGGATTCATTTGGCTCAGGATAGGGACCAGTGGTTGGCTCTTGTGAATATACAGGAGGTGGGAAATTTCTTGACTGGCTAAGTGTGCTGTCAGCTTCTCAAGAAGGATTGTGCTGCATCCAGTTACGGCCTTCGTAAGTAGTATAAGTTGTAGCCCTTACCTCAGAAATGGATTCCTTCATGTTATGAGGCAAGCAGGTGCCAAGAAGTGTAGAAGACCACCACTGTCTTGTATACAAATGGTACATCCTTTCTCTTTACCCTCTGAAATTGTAGGAACAAACAATTGTTTTTAATTTCTAATGCCTCCACTTACAGTCCTTCAGCCTTTCTGGCCTCTGCCTTTGTTTTTGTCTACTCAGTGAGAATGTAGGATCCAATTCCACATCCATTTAAAAATCCAAGTGAATGTGAATATTTGCACCGAGTCTGAACTTTTTGAGGATTGTCATAAAAGTGATAATTATTTTGGACACTGTCCATTGTTATGCATTTCTTAAAACTGAGTGTCTTGGAAAATGGAACTGTTTATGTCAGGTGATTACTGAGGGGGGCCCTGTGGACAGAACCAGTTTGTGTACAGTTGAATTTACTTCCCTGATGATGTGCAGATAGGTATTAGTGTTGAACTCAAGTTATTTAATCCTTAAAACAGACAAAACATGTTAGTAATTGTAAAATAGTAATTTTATTTAGCTGTCATAAAGTGTGTTTGTGTGTGTATAATGCTAACAAAAATTTGTGAAATGATAGTAGCTTATGGACTACTGGATGGATAACACTTCTGTACGAAATGAACTGTTCACACTGTTGGATGTTAATTGTAACTGTGTAATTTATGTGATGGTAATGCACTGTTGATACTAGCAAATAAAGTTTATCTGATTTCAGGGGAGAAAGTGGAAGTGACAGGAGTGCTGGACAGAAGAAGAAGCGTAGAATTGCATCTGATTCCAGTCGTTCACCTTCTAGATCTCGCTCCAGGTCACATTCTGGCAGCAGGTCACGTTCACGTTCAAAGAGCGGATCTCGTTCTAGATCTGAATCCAAGAGCATATCTAGGTCTAGATCACGTTCTGGATCCAGATCAAAAAGTGGTTCACGCTCTGGCAGTGGATCCCGATCCAGGTCAAGATCAAAGAGTGGTTCTCGGTCGAGATCAAGAAGTGGGTCAGGATCTGGGAAGAGCATATCACGATCAAGGTCTAGGTCAAAGAGTCGGTCAAGGAGCAGTGGATCATCCCATTCTAGGTCTAGGTAATAGTGATCATGTCTTTACTTGAGCAGTAATGCTGTTAGTAGATATTTTAGAATGTAATCAAAAATAAGAATGAAGCAGTGTATTTGGAGTATAACTCTATGTACTAGCATAACTTTTATATTTTCAGTGCTGTGTGCTCATTGCACAAAGTAAATAAAATATATTTATGTGATTTAAGAGAACATTACCATCCTCCCCCTTTTTTCTGAATCCAACTAATACAAAAAATTGATAAGTGGCACAAACTGTAGATTTCATGAATATCTGCTACTTCGATTTTAACATATTTCTGTATGATAAATATTTAATGAAATACCAGCATCCAGGTGGTAGCAGAACATAAGACTCAATTCTGCTAATACTAAAGTCTGGCATTTGTTAGGTTAGAGAAGAAGGGAGGACAGTTGCAACTGGTATGAATCATGAAGTTTGACACTAAATTGCTCATTTCCATCTTTATAATTTTAAATACTTTGGTTGCAACTGGTATAAATCACGAAGTTTGACACTAAATTGCTCGTTTCCATCTTTATAATTTTAAATACTTTTTATGGCACTTTGCTTTCAATTTTTGTTTGGTTTTGTTTGTTTGTTTGCTTCTTTTCACTCATGATAAGAGAATGGGTAGTGGAGGACACTTTTAGATTGAAGTTTGAGTCTGAAAAGCAGTTGCTTGTGTTCACTATTTAAAACATGCTTTCATTGAATCTTCTTGCTCAGATTAGCATGCTTCAGCCTCATTTGTGTAAATCTGAATTGATGTAAGTTGTTTGTTTGCAGGTCAAAGTCTGGGTCACGGTCAGGAAGTGGCTCTCCTACCAAATCCCGTTCTCGCAGTGGATCAAGGTAAATTTGTACTCATAACTGTGAATTTAGTTTTATTTTCCTCTCATATTTGTCTGAAAGCAAGATTATAAACCAATTCTTTAGTGAAGTGATCACTCATGCTTCATGTTTGGTAGTTCCTGGGTCCATATTACAGATTAGATACTAAGTATCCAGATTTTTTTTATTAACCTTATACTGAGGCAAATGTGGAGTAGTGACCTATGTCATCACTTGTGTGTTTTTTACAGTTTATCAATTGCATTATCATCCCGACATTTCACGCCATACAACCTGTGCAGTTGATTAGGTAGTGTTGTAAATTGTGATTCTGTGTCAGTGACACTACTTCCTCACAGACAGACAGATGATTGAGTCAACGACAAAGACGTGCCTATGAATTATGAGTCAAAATGAAAGAAATGCCTATACAATATTGTTTGGTAAACATTAATGCGAGGTACCACTTGGGAGAGAGAAGTGGATGGAAGGACAATATTAAAGTGGATATTTGAGAAATGAGTTGTGAGCATGTAAATTTCCTCAGGATAGGGGCACAAATGGGCCAGGTACTAGCTGAAATTAAGAGCAGTTTTATATAAATTATATTTATGCTGAAGCTTGTCTAAGTAATATTTGAAGGTTCTTTCAGAACCTCAAAGAAACACAATGCTTCATCATTGGTTTATCCTGTTTTAAGAAATACACTCTGTATGCAAAATGCTGAGTTAGTGTTTTTGAAGCAGGTGGTACACATAGTTGCCACTGGGGTTTAAATGGTTAACTTGCTTTGATGCAAAGAAACTTTTTCTTATGTTTTTTTCTTTTTTATGTAGGAGCAAATCTGGTAGTCGATCAAGATCACGGTCCTCAAGTCGGTAAGTTCATTTTCTGCATTTAGCAATAAGTAAGCAAGTTAAAAAAGTGTTTGTTAAAGTTAGTGCATTTTTCTCTTTGTGTGACAGATACTGTATTTCATTGCATAGAACATATAAGGTTTTCCATAATATCATAGTCAGAAACTTCATTGTTTGAAACTCGTGGAAATGGTTAAAGTGAAATGTTTTCTCTGGAAAGCTGGCAAACTCTATACCATGTAAAGTGTAAGATACAAAATCTTAACTTTTTTCAATTTAATTTTTGTGTTTTTATTAATACATAAGTGCTTGTTGCAGGTCGGGTTCTCCAATTTCCAGAAAGTCTGTGTCTGGCAGTGAAGCAGGCAGTCCATCACATGACAAAGGTTCAGGTTTGGTCCAGTGTGTGTAAAATGCTTTTTCCCCCAAGTCTTTGACATATATCAACTACTATTCCTTATACAGTAAAACCTCTCTAAGTTGGACACTTGGGGATCCACAAAAATGTCTCCAACTTACGGAGGTGTCCAAGATAGTCCACCAACACAGTACTGATGGAGTTAAAACTATGTCTTCTGCAATACTATAGTACAATTAAGGGTTCAGCAAAAGAATAGTTTAACACTAGCAATGCATTCCAATGATGGGTTCAATGTCCATAAGATAATCCTCCAGAGAGGAGGCATTCATCAGTCAGAAATTCAAAATAACAAAATATGTAACTGAAAAAGTTTCCCTGAAAAGCATCGAAGTTAAATGCATGAACCTGTCCAACTTACAACAAAAGGGATGTTCAAGTTCCAGGATAAAGGCATGTCCAAGATATAGGGTATTGTGGACATGTAAAATTATAGGATATTCGCTGGTTCCAATTGAAAGATTCCAATATAAAGGTGTGTCCAACTTGAAGGGTTTTACTGTATCCCAATGACAACAGTAATACTTTGTTCATGGATGGTGTTAGGGAGCAGAGATATTCTGATAAAGGAGAGTCACTTGTAGCTGCTGCTGTGTCCACATTTATATTCAAAGCCATATAAAATTATTATTATTTCTGTGACAAGAATTTCCAAACACATAATACAAATGAGAACCTGGTGTTATAGAGGTGAGCTACTGGGTGGTTTGTTGTTTGAAAGGGTCTTCAGAGAGCTCAGCATAGATCACCAGCCACTGTAAACATGGTGGGTGGCAGCACAGGTCTATGCAGACAGATCTGGGTAGCAGCAGTGGCATACAAATATAACCTTACTTTTTTTCACCATTACTGCTGCTCATAATCCCTCACTGTTTAGTTGATGGCTTTTCTTTTCTTTAGGTTCAGAATCTGATGGAGGAAATTCTGGGAATGAAAGTGAGTAGGAGCCTTGGGCCTGGTATGCACTTGTTCTGCTGGTGTGCCTTTGTCCATATCCGAGGGAGTTTTGTTGTATGTCGGATGAAGTGTTCTTCCAGTCATGTTAAGGGTCAGTGTTCATGTTTTACATTACGATGCAGTGAATTATTTTCTCTTCGCAGAATAAAGTATGTGATTATAGTTGGTGTGTTCGTAGCTTCATATTTATTGCTTGGTCCCCAAAGTAATGTTTTCCTAGGAAGTTTCTTGGGATGCTTCTTTTGTTCATGAAGGAGCTGTTAGTCTTGCAGACCAGGATGTCTGTTCTGCAGGTCCTCATTCTATTTCTACAAATGCTTATAGCATACCAGTTCTTTGTATCTCATCAGAACAGTATAATACAGTACTGTTCATACATACATACAGCTTAATGTCAGGTCTTCCAAATTTAAACATGCTGTTATATCTTTGGTGCTTGGTAAGAAGAGCCTAAGTCAGTGCAAATAATGTTTGAAGCCTGTCTTATGAAGCATGTCAGATGTAATGTGTGCAATTTAAAAAGGAGTGACTAGTAAAACTAATTTGTGTGTGAAGCTATGTCAGATGAAAAGCCAGAGCAATATGAGAGTGTTATTCAAAATGTAATTATGAATTTATGTGTGTGGTTAGTTTATTAGTATATTACTGTAGTTTGGTAATAAACATGTTTTGAGAGTAGTATAACTTTATTGTTTGTAAATGTGCAGTATAAATGCTTCATAATTGTGTAATAGGTATAGAGTGATGTTTGGCTGTGGGATATGATTCTGTAACAGAATTGTATTTCTAGATACTTTCTGAGTGTGATATATTGTACTGTGGTTCATACAGCTTGACTATATTTTGGGCTATGTATTGGTTGTAACACAGAAATGAGGAAACAAGTGTGACATATTAAAAGAATAGTTCACAGTGACCTGTTGCCCATGGTAATGAGTTCACAGTCGCAAAAAGTAACACAATGAACAAAATATTGTTTTGTTCAATAATTATTGATTTCCAGTCTAACATTACTGGCATTTTCTATGAAGCTTTGGACAGGCTACACATGATGGTTGGCTGTGAGAAACAAGTAATACTTGCAGATTTTTAGGGCAAATCTGTTTGGGATACAGAGATGGAAACAGGAGATTAGTTTTCTAAACATTTTATGTATCAGAGTGTAATTGTATTCTATTGCCACAATTCTTAATGAGTTTATATCAGGTGGCCGGGTACTTGAGAAGTTAGAGAATGCATTTGCTTCCAATTTAATATGATGATGTACTTCAATTAACTTTTGTATTGTAGACAGTTTTCCTTCATTTTACATCAACACAATTGGAAATAAAGAAAAGCAGGGCACATGTCAACAAACTTTTAAGTGGCAGGTTTATGGAATACAGCGATACATTTATCGTAATTGTACAAAATTCTCTTTTTGCCAACACATTATGAACAACTCTGCAGCCTACGAAATAATAGGATTTATGTATATACGCCATAAATCATTCATAGCATGGTGTGGAACATGTCTACACTGCTACCAACTTTGTCTCCGATCCATATACGCCTACATTATAGGTGCTTAGGCAGAGTTTACATTTTTGTGACGTTCTGTGGTAATGGTACTTGTGTCAGAATGATATAAAATGTGACGTAGGGAATGATACGTATTTAAGCTAATAATAAGTAAGTAAACTTTGTTTAAACAGTAAATTTATGGTAATTATTTCTCCCCCACCACTATTCTATATGACCCCGAACTCATGTGGATCCAAGTGGCTTTATTGTAAGTGGTTTCTTCCAAGAAGTTCGTTGATAATCGTTTTTTTTTATTTGCGAAGCCATGTATAAACTCAAAGTTATTTAAGATCTATAGGACTGTAATATTTCCCGTGCTTAATACCTGAGTGCATTTAGGTAATACATTTACGTGAATAAATCGCCAAAGTTGTGAAAATTTCTAGGTTAAGCTTACAGTTACGTACTTTACTTCCAGGTGTTAAAACCCATACTTTATTATGATTACAGCAAGGTGATAGTCATTGGGATAGTTGTCTGGGCGTTATATCGTACCCCTTTCGTTAAAAGTTTAGTAGACTCAAAGTAGGTTGTTAATGTATTGCAGGCAGTTTTCGACCGATCTGTATTCTCTTATGCCAGATTATTTAGGCTATAATTACTTCAGTCTGTGAATTTTGTAAACGAAAAGGGGAGGGTAGAATGTGCAGTGACTTATATAAAAAGTGCCTGTTACATATTAAAGTTCGTCTTCAGAAAAAGAGTAGTGTTGATTATTGTTATCAATCTGTTGTTGAACCAAAACAGTTATTTTTACTTTTAATATAGTATTTAATGTAGCATCATATATGAAATTATTTTTTTCCAGCATAATATGGATGTAATAAAAGAAGAACCTGATTCAGAGACTGAGGTTCGTCCAAGATCATCAGACGAAGATCTGGCTGATGCAAAACATGAACATCTGCCTGAACCATTCTCATTTGTTGAAGTTAAGCAAGAAGTGGTGTGTACTATGCATAAAACACAATTACATTCTTACATTTAAAATAAATACAAGGAGTAAAGAAGTGACGTCATTCACAAAGAACTACAAACAGAGCCAATATTGGAAAAAATCCACAGATACAGAAGGAACTGGATCCAACATGTATGAAGAATGGACAAGGAGAGATTGCCACATCAAATTTTGAAACATAAACCAGTAGGAAAAAGAAACAAAGGATGCCCTTTAAAAAGATTCCTGGATGACTGAGGCCGGAATGGGTCACAAGGCTCAAAATCCTTGACAGTTAGATGATGATGAAAAGGAGTAATTTTAATATTACCCTTTGAAATTGTTATGAAATTTTTCCATTGGGAATGAAGAACTTCATTATTATATTCATGTAGAATTTCAGAAGTTGTGAGCCTCAATATTTCTAAATGAAACATTAAAAATGTAATGTTGCAAAGTATGAATCTTTGTATGAAGACAGAGTAGAGTTGTGATTTATTTTGATGCTTATGAAAATGTAGCTGGCCTTAATATATCATGAGAATACTTTCTTTATGAAATGAGGATGTTTATATATATAAAAGTTCAAGGGCCTATGGGACATATTTATATTGTTGTAGCTATAAACTTCATCTTGTATGTAAGTACCAATTCATTTGAAAGAGTCATAATTGGGCCATGGACTTACAGCTCCATGTTATCTTAACCTCAGATGTTAAAGGAAGTGAATGGTAAACTTAAAGTTTCAGCAGTTTTATCCTATGGAAGGTGACTTTATTTATTATCTTTAAAGTGGGGTCTTCTTATTATGAACATTACATCTAATTTGAAACTAATAATGTCATTAAATAATGTGCATCTCTGTATTGTATGTCTGAAAATTCTTCTTGAACTTAGTTCCTTGTGTCTAGTCTTTGAGCTAAGAACGGTGAATTATTTGTGAAAGCATACTGATAAATTATTGGCTTCATACCAGGTTCTATTTTATTTCAGGAAGATTCGTGGGATGGTTGTGAAGCCAAGGATAAAGAAGCAAGAGGACGTGATATTTGTGATGGGTAAGTTTGTGGTTAGTTGCATGCTTGAAATCATTCATAGTTATGTGAATCTGCTAATCATACTAAGCACAATGAATATGGACCTTAGAAGTCATTCACTGCCTAACTTTACAATCTGCCTGCCTCATTTTGTTTCTAAGTGCCACTTCATTCCTTCTCAAAGCTGAATGTAACATTAGCCATCCAACAAGCAGGTAGGATTACCTTGAAATACAGTTATTTAAATATCTTTAATAGTCTTATAACATTGTGGTAGAATATGTGCAGGAAATGCAGTGAATGCTGATAGAAAAAAACCTGATTTAATGAAACTTTAAATCTACAAGATATTTTTCATACATGAAAAGAATTAATATTAATTACAAATTAATTAAAACCGCATTTGAATGAGTATGATTTTTGTTTCTTAGCCAAATAGTGGTGCTTGGTGTCTTGAGAAAACATATTCAATTATTGTGATTCCAATGATGATGATGTTAACACAGTGTTCATTTGCAAAGCAAGGTAGTACCTATAAAAATTTAACTCGGTGAGCAAAATTATTTTGGAATACTGAACAATATATTGTCAGGTTTTGGTTGCAGTGAAAATCACCAAATTCATTACCAGGAAGATATTGGCGATAGTAGTGGCAGTTCTTCATCACCACTGAATTCACAGGGTGATAATTCAACAGCATTGAATTCACATGCCAGTGGTGATCATTGCACAACCAAGTTAAATCTAGATGTTAATGGGAAACAAAAATGTATTTCTGATGACAGTATGTCAGTCCCAGGTGGCAGTTCATACAATATACAAAATCTAATAGAAGTTTTAAGTTGTGGGAATAAGAAACAAAAGGCACACAAACAACGTACTGATAATAAACAGAAGCGACGGAGGAAAAAATCCTATCAGTGTAGTGAATGTAGTACTTTGTTTCCTGGAAATTATGAACTTAGGATGCATATGCGTACCCACATGGAGGAAAAACCATACAAATGTGAACTGTGTGAGCAGGGCTTTTATACAAGTTCCCACCTCAACAGACATCGACGTTCTCATACTGGTGTTAAACCCTTCATATGTGAAGTGTGCAACAAAAGGTTTTCGGAAAGAGGAAACGTCATTGTGCATCTGCGTACTCATACTGGAGAAAAACGTCACACATGTGAATTGTGCACTAAACAGTTTTCTAATAGCAGTGATCTAAAGAAACATATTCGTACACATACGGGCGAAAAACCGTACAGTTGTGAGTTGTGTAGTCAAGCTTTCTCCAATAGATCACATCTAGCAAGACATCGTCGTACACATACGGGAGAAAAACCATATGTGTGCGAATTTTGCAAGAAGTCGTACTCTATTAGGGCATGCCTTGTTATGCATCTTCGTTCTCACACAGGAGAATTGCCTGAGAAATGTTATAAGTGTGAAGTGTGTGATAAAGCATTTGCTTATCCGTCGCACGTCACTGTACATCTTCGAACTCATACAGGAGAGAAACCTTTTAATTGTCATATATGTGGTCAAGCATTCTCTCATAGTTCTCAGGTCAGCGCACATGTTCGCACCCATACAGGAGAGAAGCCATTTGAATGTGACATATGCCATAGGGCTTTTTCT